TCCACAGGCACCTACGTTGACGAGGTTCCCCCGCTTGGGGCGAACATCGTCAGTGGCATGTGGATTTTCAGGGTGAAGCAACCGCCGGGTTCTCCGCCTGTCTTCAATGTCAGATTATTATAGCTGATGCATGTTTGTAGGCCATAGTGGGGTAGCACATATGGGGTACAGCTTTCTAGGGTTGTATTTGTACCCAACTCTGACTTAGTCATTCTCATTCCTGCTCATTTATTTCACATGGTATAGAGCGAGTTCCCTGTGGGAACGTTGCCTAGGGCCCACCGAAGCGCGCCCCGAGGCGCGCACCTTTTTTTTTTAGCGACCCCTCGAGTCGCCCTTTCCCTCGTGGCCCCGCCGTCCCTCAGACGCGGCCCCGCCACCCCTTCTGATCGCGGCCCCGCCACCCGATCGCGGCCCCGCCGCCACGTCGCGGCCCCGCCACCCGATCGCGGCCCCGCCGCCACGTCGCGGCCCCGCCACCCGATCGCGGCCCCGCCGCCAGCTGCTAACGCGGCCCCGCCGCCCGCTACGACGCGGCCCCGCCGCCTGCTCTGACGCGGCCCCGCCGCCACCTCTTACGCGGCCTCGCCGCCACCTCTGACGTGGCCCCGCTGCCTGATCTGACGCGGCCCCGCCGCCACCTCTGTCGCGGCCCCGCCGCCTGCTCTGACGCGGCCCCGCCGCCCGCTACGACGCGGCCCAGCCGCCTACTATGACGCGGCCCCGCCGCCCGCTACGCCGCCGGCCCCGCCGCCTGCTCAGCCGCGGCTCCGCCGCCCTCTCTGCCGGCCCCGCCGCTCCACCAGCCGCGGCCCCGCCGTCCCCGCCGCTGCACCTGCCGGCCCTGCTACTTCGGCCCCGCTGCCCCTGATCTCGCAGCCCCGCCACCCTATCTGCAGCAGCCGAGCCGCCCACCTGCAGCAGCCGAGCAGCAGTGCAGCCGAGCCGCCCCGCACCCGAGCCGCCCTGCCGCCGAGCCGCCCGGGAGCCGAGCCGCCCTGCACCCGAGCCGCCCTGCCGCCGAGCCGCCCGGGAGCCGAGCCGCCCAGCAGCCGAGTCGCTGAGTAGCCGAGCCGCCCTTCTGCAGAGTTGCCCGGCCTGCCCCGCCTGGTGAGCACAGTCCCACTGTCACTGCGTGCTCTTCCCCTACTGCTTGCACTGCTTCGCTGTCGTCGTCATGGCTACCCCTAGTGTCCTAGCTTTTGACGCTGAGGGTCGCGCCATTGACTTTGAGGTCTGGGTAGACGACCTGCAGTTGTTTTTACAGTGCGATAGGGCAGACGGCCTCTCTCTCTTTGACCTTACCTCTGGCGCCTCTCCTGCTCCTGCTGCTGATGCTGATCCCACTGTCCGCTCTCAGTGGGCCACCCGCGATGCTGCTGCACGTCTTGCTGTGCGTCGCCACCTCCCTACCTCTGAGCGCGCGCACTTTAGTCAGTACAAGAGTGCTCAGACCTTGTACGACGCTGTAGTTGCGCGCTACTCCTCCCCTGCCACTGCTGCACTGAGCCGTCTCATGCTTCCCTACCTCTTTCCTGACCTCTCTGCCTTTCCCACTGTCGCTGACCTCATTACGCACCTCCGCACTAGTGACACTCGCTACCGCGCCGCCCTTCCTGCTGAGTTCTGCGCTAAGAACCCCCCCCCCCCATGTACATCACTCTCTACTACGTAGTCGCACACCTCCCTGACTCCCTTCGGGTAGTCAGGGACCACTTTCTCGCAGTCTGTCCCACCACCCTCACCGTCGACGTCCTCGAGAAGGCCCTCCTCGCAGCGGAGAAGAGCATAGTCGCTGTAGGAGCTTCTCGTGGAGACCCTCGCACCCCCATCTTTGAGGGGTGCTCTCCTTCCCCCTTGCTGCCCTCTGTTGCCTATGCTGCTGCTGCCGACCTGCTTGGTCTTGAGTCGGTCGGCGCGGCGTCTGCCCCTAGTGGGAGACGTCGCTCTGGCAAGGGCAAGGGGGGCAAGGGCGCGGGTGGAGCTGGAGGGGGCGGTGGCGGTGGCGGCGGAGGCGGCGGAGGGAGTGGGGGTGGCGGCGGGAGTGGTGGCGGGGGTGGTGGTGGTGGTGGTGGCAGCAGCGGCGGAGGCGGCGGTGGTGGTGGCAGCGGTGGTGGTGGTGGCAGCGGCGGAGGTGGAGGCGGCGGAGGAGGCAGCGGAGGAGGCGGTGGTGGTGGAGGGGGTGGAGCTGGTTGGGGTGGTACCCAGCAGCGGAGCGGCGGTGGTGGTGGCCAGCGCTCGCAGCAGCAGCAGCAGCAGCAGCGTTCGCGGGACATCCCTTCGCCTCAGCAGCTTCGTGAGTGGTACACTCAGCGTCAGAGGGGTGGGGGTACTGGTCCTTGCACCTACGTCCTTCGTTCCGACGACCGCGCGGGTGAGCAGTGTGGGGGTGCCCACCCCACCCAGCGCTGCTTTGGCCGCCTGACGGACGCTTGGCGTCAGCAGTTCCCCGGGGCTAGTGAGATCCCTCGCTGGGATGAGCTTCTTAGGGCTGGTGTAGCGATCTTTGATCTTGATTTTGATGCTATCCTTGCTGCTATGTATACTGTGTCTATTAGTGAGGAGACTGAGGGTTACCGGTGTTTCCAGCCCGACCCGGGCATTGGTACTGCTGCGCTAGGTACTTGTGAGGCTGCTGCTCTAGGTGCCAGTGCGTCTGCGCTCTCAGGTACTGGTGAGACTGCGCTCTCAGGTACTGCGTCGCCCTCGTCCTCCCTTACTTTCACACTTGACTCTGGGGCTTCTCGCTCCTTCTTTCGAGACCGCACCACCCTTACGCCGCTTGGCCGGCCGGTTGCCGTCTCCCTGGCTGACCCCTCTGGGGGTCCTGTCCTCTCTCACTTCTCCACTGTCCTCCCGTGTCCGGCTGCCCCTTCGGGCATCCTGTCAGGTCTTTACCTTCCCTCGTTCTCTACGAACTTGGTGAGTGGCGCGGACCTGCAGGATGTGGGGGTTCACCAGTTCACTCCTGCGAGTCAGCGGGTGACCCACTGCACGGAGGAACGCACAGGCCGACACCTGGCCACGTTCTCGCGTCGGCCGGGGTCGAGTCTCTACACCCTGACCGTTGAGTCTCCCCCTGTCCCTGCGTCTGGTCAGGTGGCTGCGTCAGGGTAGGTCCTGAGTCTGCCCCCTGTTCTTGTCGCCTCCTGTCACACGAGACTCTCCTGTGGCACCACCGTCTTGGCCACCCCTCCTTGCCCCGTCTTCGGAGCAAGGCTTCCCGTGTCCTTGTCTCTGGTCTTCCCCAGTCTCTCCCTCCCCTTCCCTCCGGGCCAGGACCTTCCTGTGTCCCCTGTGTCGAGGGTCGCCTCAGGGCTGCTCCTCACTCCTCCCAGTTCCCCCCGACAGAGGCTCCTCTGCAGACGCTTAACATGGACGTGTGGGGCCCAGCCCCCGTCCGTGGGCAGGGTCACGAGCGCTACTTTGTGTTGGTGGTTGACGACTACTCGCGTTACACGACAGTCCTCCCCTTGCGCAGCAAGGGTGCTGTCACTGAGGTGCTGATCGACTGGATCCGCGAGGCTCGTCTCCAGCTCAGGAAGAGCTTCGACTCGGACTTTCCTGTTCTGCGTCTGCACTCGGACAGAGGCGGAGAGTTCTCCTCGCGCCTTCTGCGAGACTACTGTCGTGCACGGGGGATCCGCCAGACCTTCACGCTTCCGGACTCTCCACAGCAAAATGGGATTGCTGAGCGCCGCATTGGCATGGTCATGGATGTCGCTCGTACGTCCACGATGCATGCGGCTGCCCCCCATTTTCTGTGGCCATTTGCGGTGAGGTACGCGGCGCATCAGCTCAACCTTCACCCCAGGGTCTCTCAGCCCGCGATGTCCCCAGTCTTGCTGTGGACGGGGAAGGTTGGCGATGCGTCGGCGTTCCGTGTCTGGGGATCTCGGGCGTTTGTCCGCGACTTGTCTGCGGACAAGCTGTCCCCTCGTGCTGCTCCTTGTGTCTTCCTTGGCTTCCCCACTGACGCTCCAGGGTGGCAGTTTTACCACCCCTCCTCTCGTCGTGTTCTGTCCTCCCAGGACGTGACGTTCGACGAGTCAGTCCCCTTCTACCGCCTCTTCCCCTACCGCACTCCTTCCCTCCCCCCTCCGCCGGACTTCCTTGTGCCGGTTCCCCCCCCGGTAGACCCCCTCCCCCCTCAGGTTCCTGCCCCCTCAGGTGTGTCCCAGGTAGACGTAGTTGACCCGGTCGAGGTTACTGGTGACTCTGGTGCTGCTGCGGGTGCTGAGCCTGGGGGTGCTGACTCTAAGGGTGCTGTGCACGGGGGTGCCGGGCCTGGAGGTGCTGCTACTGGGGGTGCTGAGCCTGGGGGTGCTGGGCCTGGGGGTACTACTGCGGAGGGTGCTGAGCCGGGGGGTGCTGTGCCTGGAGCTGCTGAGCCTGGGGGTGCTGAGCCTGGGGTTTCTCCTGCTGCTGCGTCTCGACGGGAGCCCCTCTCTCCACAGGAGCTGCGCGAGTGGTTTGCTCGCCGCTGGAGTCGTGCTGCTGGAGCTGGAGCTTCTTCGACCGTCGAGGGTGCTGGTGCTGCCGGTCCCGGAGCTGCTGGGCCTGCGGGTTCTCCTTGAGCTGGAGCTGCTGAGGGTGTTAGTGCTGAGACCACTGCTGTCTGTCCTCGCGGTGGTTCTGCTGCTGGTACTGCTGGAGGTCCTGCCGCTGGAGGTGTTGGTGGCGCTGGTACTGTCGCTGAGGGTGCTGGTGCTGTCTCTGCTGAGTCTGGAGCTGCCGCGCGGCCTCGGCCGTACTTCGTTCCGCTCCTGCAGCAGGTTCTTGGTCTTTCTCCTCCGGTAGAGTGTCCACAGCCTGTCCAGTCGCAGTCACTTTTGGAGCCTTCCTCTCCTCTGCCTGCTCCCTCTCCTTACACTAGTCCTACTGGAGGTCTTACTGAGCGTCGTGAGCCTGCGTCTCGTACCGCGTCGCCTGTTCGTGCTGCTCGCGCTAGTGGTCGCGGTTCGCGTCAGCGTCCTCCTCCTGTCCCTGGCACGCACCGGATGTCTCTGCGTCCGTCCACTGCTCCTCTGCGTGCCCCTTTGCCTTCTCCTCCTGAGTCCTCTCCTGCGCTTGCCGACCCTGAGTCGGACTCTCTTCGTGATGCCAGTCCTACTGTCACGCTTCTGCTTGCTACTGTCGTCACTGACCCCTCGTTTGAGTCCACTGCTGCGTCTGCTCTTGTCGTTGAGCTCGTCGACTTTGCTGCTCGCTGTCGTCTAGACTACGCTGCTAGTCTTGTTGCTGAGTCTGCGTCTGTCTGTCCTCCGTCCGTCGGGGGTGAGTGTGCTCTTGGCACGGACGTCCTAGAGGACAGGCAGGAGGAGTTACAGTGTCTGGCTGCTGCTTCACCTCATCTCGTGTCTGTACTGCTTGCTCCTAAGGGAGACCCGAATGCACTAGACATCCCGACTCCGCGCTCTTACGCGGAGGCCGTAGAGGGTCCCTACTCCTCTCAGTGGCAGGCAGCTATGGATGCAGAGATGGCTTCCTGGAAGTCCACAGGCACCTACGTTGACGCAGTTCCCCCTCCTGGGGCGAACATCGTCAGTGGCATGTGGATCTTCCGGGTGAAGCGGCCGCCGGGCTCTCCACCTGTCTTCAAGGCGCAGTACGTTGCTCGTGGCTTCAGCCAGCGGCAGGGAGTTGACTACTTTCAGACCTTCTCTCCCACCCCGAAGATGACCACTCTTCGGGTGCTGCTGCACATAGCCGCTCAGCGCGACTACGAGCTTCACTCTCTCGACTTCAGCACTGCGTTCCTGCAGGGTAGCCTGCACGAGGAGATCTGGATGCGCCGTCCACCTGGCTTCACTGGGACTTTCCCTCCTGGCACCCAGTGGAGCCTCCGACGGCCAGTCTACGGTCTCCGCCAGGCACCGCGTGAGTGGCACGACACACTGAGGACTACGCTTGCGGCTCTTGGGTTTGCTCCGTCTACTGCTGACCCGTCGTTGTTTCTGCGCACCGACACTTCACTGCCGCCGTTCTACATCCTCGTGTACGTCGACGACTTGGTCTTTGCCACCGCGGACACTGCTGGACTCGCCTACGTGAAGTCCGAGCTACTGAAGAGACACACGTGCACAGACCTGGGTGAACTGCGCAGCTACCTTGGCTTGCAGATCACTCGGGACAGAGCACGCCGCACCATTACCTTGACTCAGTCACACATGGTGCAGCAGGTCCTTCAGCGCTTCGGCTTCACGTACTCCTCGCCTCAGGCCACTCCTCTGTCTACTCGCCACTCACTCTCAGCTCTGCCTTCGGATGAGTCCGTAGAGTCGAGTGGCCCGTACCCAGAGCTTGTTGGCTGCCTCATGTACCTGATGACCTGCACTCGACCTGACCTTGCATACCCTCTGAGCATTCTTGCACGCTATGTTGCTCCTGGGAGACACCGACTAGAGCACATGGCTGCAGCGAAGAGGGTATTGCGCTACCTGTGCAGTACGTCGGGCATGGGGCTAGTGCTTGGAGGGCGGAGTCCAGTGGTCCTTACAGGCCACACGGACGCTTCTTGGGCTGACGACCAGGCTACGCAGCGGTCGTCACAGGGTTACACCTTCAGTCTTGGTTCCGGCTCTGTCTCGTGGCGGTCTACTCGTTCGTCTTCGGTTCTCAGCTCCAGTTGTGAGGCTGAGATCTACGCCGGGGCCATGGCTGCACAGGAGCTTCGCTGGCTCACCTACCTGCTGACTGACCTTGGAGAGCCGCCTCGTTCTCCTCCAGTGTTGTACGTAGACAACAAGGCCATGCTGGCCTTTTGTCGAGAGCAGCGCTTGGAGCACAGAACGAAGCACATTGCTCTTCGCTACTTCCTTGCTCGTGAGTTGCAGCAGCGTGGTCAGTTGCGACTTGCGTACGTGGCCTCTGAGGCCAACACTGCTGATGTGTTCACCAAGGCACTCGCGCCTTGTAACCATCAGCGCTTCTGCACCCAGCTGGGTCTTGTGCCTGTCTTGCCTCACTTGCTCTCTTCTTGACTTTACTTGTTCTGTGACATATATATACTTGCTCCTGCTTGTCTAGTTTTATATATATGTCTGTACTCCTGCATGTGAACTGGCCTCTGGCCCTGCTCTTGTGCTCGGACTGTGTGGTGACTTTGTGATCCACCCTGAGCTTGCTTTGCTTTGCTTTGCTTGACTGGTCTTGTGACCCCTTGTTCTCCCCCACTTTGCCTATGGGGGTGTGTCAGATTATTATAGCTGATGCATGTTTGTAGGCCATAGTGGGGTAGCACATATGGGGTACAGCTTTCTAGGGTTGTATTTGTACCCAACTTTGACTTAGTCATTCTCATTCCTGCTCATTTATTTCACATTCAAGGCGCGTTAGGTGGCTCGTGGCTTCAGTCAGCGGCAGGGAGTTGACTACTTTCAGACCTTCTCTCCCACCCCGAAGATGACCACTCTTCGGGTACTGCTGCACATAGCTGCTCACCGTGACTACGAGCTTCACTCTCTTGACTTCAGCAAAGCTTTCCTACATGGCAGCCTGCACGAGGAGATCTGGCTGCGCCGCCCACCTGGCTTCACTGGGTCTTTTCCTCCTTGCACCCAGTGGAGCCTCCGGGAGCCAGTCTACGGTCTCCGCCAGGCACCGCGTGAGTGGCACGACACACTGAGGACTACATTTGCGGCTCTTGGGTTTGCTCCCTCTACTGCCGACCCGTCGATGTTTCTGCGCACCGACACTTCTTTTCCGCCGTTCTACATCCTCGTGTACGTCGACGACTTGGTGTTTGCCACAGCTGACACTGCTGGACTCGCCCACGTGAAGTCCGAGCTGCAGAAGAGACACATGTGCACAGACCTGGGTGAACTGCGCAGCTACTTTGGCTTGCAGATCACCCGGGACATAGCACGCCGCACCATTACCCTGACTCAGTCACACATGGTGCAGCAGGTCCTTCAGCGCTTCGGCTTCATGTACTCCTCGCGTCAGGCCACTCCTCTGCCTACTCGCCACTCGCTCTCAGCTCTGCCTTCGGATGAGTCCGTAGAGTCGAGTGGCCCGTACCCAGAGCTTGTTGGCTGCCTCACGTACCTGATGACCTGCACTCGACCTGACCTTGCATACCCTCTTAGCATTCTCGCACGCTATGTTGCTCCTGGGAGACACAGACCAGAGCACATGACTGCAGCGAAGAGGGTGTTGCGCTACTTGTGCAGTACGTCGGGCATGGGGCTTGTGCTTGGAGGGCAGAGTCCAGTGGTCCTCACTGGGCACGCAGACGCTTCTTGGGCTGACGACCAGGCTACGCAGCGGTCGTCACAGGGTTACACCTTCAGCCTTGGTTCCGGCTCTGTTTCGTGGCGGGCTACCCTCTCGTCTTATGTTCTCGGCTCCAGTTGTGAGGCTGAGATCTACGCCGGGGCCATGGCTGCACAGGAGCTTCGCTGGCTCACCTACCTGCTGACTGACCTCGGAGAGCCGCCTCGTTCTCCTCCAGTGCTGTACGTAGACAACAAGGCCATGCTGGCCTTGTGTCGAGAGCAGAGACTGGAGCACAGAACGAAGCACATTGCTCTCCGCTACTTCCTTGCTCGTGAGCTGCAGCAGCGTGGTCAGCTACGTCTTGCGTACGTGGCTTCTGAGGCCAAGACTGCTGACATCTTCACCAAGGCGCTTGCGCCTTGTGATCATCAGCGCTTCTGTACTCAGCTGGGTGTTGTGCCTGCCTTGCCTCACTTGCTCACCTCTTGACCTTGCCTGTACTGTTACATATATATATACACCTGCTCTTGCTTGTCTAGCCTTTTATATATATATGTACTCCTGCATGTGAACTGGCCTTGTGGCCTTGACCTTGTGCTCGGAATATGTGGTGACTTTGTGATCCACCCTGAGCTTGCTTTGCTTTGCTTTGCTTGACTGGTCTTGTGACCCCTTGTACTCCCCCACTTTGCCTATGGGGGTGTGTCAGAACATTATAGCTTATGCTTTTGTGTAGGCTGTAGTGGGGTAGCCCAGATGGGGAACAACCCAATTAGGGTTAGTACTTGTACCCAACTCGTTCATATTACATTCATTCTCGTTCTAGTTTTCTCAGCGGGCACACAACAGCGGGGATCAACGAGGCGCCCGACTCTATCGCGGATAGCGTGGTGCCACCGTCGACTGGTTCAGGGTATGCTGTGCAATATGGCGGAACCCCGTCCGGAGTTGCACCAGCCGCATCCGGGTCTAATGTACGCTCTGGTAAGGCTTCTGGGTTTTAATTGGTGGTGCTTTGATATTACACGTTAACCAGTTCAAAACCATAATAACATGAATTTCATCTCAACTATTTCGCCGTCATGTGTTCTTCTTTCACCTGTAGCTGCAACAGTGCAGGCTACTGAACCAGCCGTCGCCCCGTTGGTCGCCAATCCCCTCGTCACTTCGCCATCACGGTCGACGGGCCCTGAACCAGCCCGCCCCGCAGCGTCAACGCCGACTCCGCCTCGTCAGCACGCCTCGCCACGCGCGCGCGCTGACGCTCTATCCCTCGGTGCGCGGCCGGGTGGATCCCTCCGCAGTGGACGCATCACGGCGAGGGCGCGTACGACGTTTGCGGTTAGGATGTGGGTGTTGGACACGATGGTGAGTATAGTGGGTGACCGGGAGGACGTAAAGGCAAGGAGAAGATGATGTACGATATGTGTGGCTTTATGACGAAGGAGATAACGAGCGTACTCCAAACAACAATGACCTTGTTTTTTGAACGCACCCGAGAAGAGGACGAGAGAGCCCGGGATGCCCGAGACGCCAAGAAGCGTAAAGGAAAGCAGAAAACCGATTCCGCCTCAAAGTCGGAGTGAAGCCGGCGATCTCGCTGCCGTGATGTGCAAGGCTGGCGGCCGGTCCTTGAAGCCACCATCGATTGCGCGGGTACGGCATCTCTATTCGGTATCTTGTGCCAAGCACCATTTCTATGTTATGCAGGGTTACCACAGCCGCCACGGTGGCCGGCACATGGCGACGGTGGCATTCCATTCTGGCGTCTAGGATACGCCATTTTGTCTTTAAGCGCCCCTTCACTTGCTCAACTATCATGCGTGCCTGCGACTGCTGCTTGTTCCACACGGCTTGCGCGTCCGGCAGTAGCTGGCCTGGGGTGGCTCGGAAAGGCACCTAGGTGTAGTTTTTGAGGCCGTATGCCGCATCGCTGACGATGCAGTAGTTGCCAATCCCCCCGCTTTCTATCATTTGTTTAGCTTTGGAATTATTAAAAACCTTCGAATCATTGCAAGATCCCGGCCAGCCAGCCAACATGCTCCAAACAATGCCGTTGGCGTCGACGAGTAGTTGAAGGATAATGCTGAAGAAGCCTTTCCGGTTCTTAAAATCCTCCGCATGTGGTCCGGAACCGCGGGTGTGTATGTATGTGTCGTCCATGGCACCCACAATCCCTGGGATCCCACTGTCCCATTTGAAATCTGCTTCCGAGGCAGCAAGATCGTCTGAGTCAGGCCATAAAATACACTCGTGCATGAGGACGTCTTCATTGATTCGAATCCACGCCTTGACAATCGTGTGGGCATGCGCGTGTGAGAAACCGAAAAGCAAGCCCAGCTGACGGAATGTCATCCCGCTTCCGAAGCGAACGAGCACAAGAGCTACTTGGAGAGCCACCTTGCATGCATGTTTGCCAGTGCTGATGAGGTGTTCAGACCACACGCGGCAGAGGTAACCAAATACGTCACGACCAACTCGTAGTGTTTCGTATAGGTGGTCTGGGGACATGTGCAAGAAGCGGTCCATCCAACGCGCTCGTTGAATACTTCGGTCATTTCGCCAGAACACATGGTAATCGCTCTCGTCAGCAAAGTCAAGGAGCAAGGGCACCATGACACCGACTGTAGCGACCAAGGGGATGAGCACAACGTGCGTGAGTCCGATTGCTAAACGTCGTGCCCATCTGGGTGTGAAAGGATCCGCCATGTTGGATAATGGCTAGAGTGTAGGGACGTTCCGGTTTTTGTATGCTCTCATCACACTCAGTTCGGGTAGACGACACGATCTCGCCGAGCCGGGTTGCAAATGGAGCCGCAGCTCACATCTTGACTCCCTGATCGTAGTGTGCACAATAGCGGTTGTGTCACTTCAGTAACAATACGTGCGACTCCGTCGCACAATCCGGCCAACTGTGCGACCTGCAAATCTGACACTTTTGCAAACCGGCCTGTAAATCGGCCACCAAATCTGTCAGATTTCAACACCTTGTAAATGTGGCTGGATGGTGGTCGGTTTAGCATTCGACCATTCGGTCGACTTTGGCGAAAAAAGGAGTCGACCAAAAGGGCGACAAATTTGCAGCCAAATCACATTGTAGCGGATCTGACGCACCCTAATGCTCCCATAGCAATCACACACACTTGCTCCACCAATTCTGGCTAGCAGCTTTCGACCCCGTTGCAAGGACATCCTTGAAGGCAATTGAAGTTGATCGATTGAAGCCATTTTTTCATTCAACCATGATCTCCTGTTTGTAAACAGCATTGGCTAGGTTCTTTTTCTTCACAGGACCAATTTGGACATTGAAAAATTCGTAGAGCTAGATTTGCATGTCTGCATGATGTGAAAACAGCTTCTAGATTTGCTATAAGCCCTACAAATTGCTTGCTTGTAGGTTACACACTCTCAATGTCCCACCATCAAAATTCTCTTCAATCTCGCAAAACTCTCTGTCGAATGTTGGCATATCGGGTATCAAATGTTGACTTCCCGTCAATCTCGAGGTTGAAGGAGGTGATCAAATGCTCCCATAGCAATCACACACTCCACCAGTTCTGGCTAGCGGCTTTCGACTTCGTTGCAAGGACATCCTTGAAGGCAATTGAAGCCACGTCTCCTCAATTTCTACCGCGTAATTGGCACGGCGCACATGGGTTTTACAACTGTGTAGAACGGTGGGTGCTCTTGAGATTCGGAAAAGAAAGGGGAGAAAAGCGCGAGAACGCGCAGAGAATTGCATCCGAAGAACCGCGTAGAAAGGTAGTAATTGCGTGCCTAGGATGATAGTCGCGTATCACCGCGTGTTTTAAGTCGACTCAAACCGCGTAGGGAGGTAGTAACTGCGTGCCTAGGAAGGCCGTCACGTGTCACCGCGTGTGCAGGCGGGAAACAGGCGCTTAGAATCCGAGTTTGATGCTACAATAATTCTCCATAGGCTCGTATACTGACGAAGCGCGAGATGAGCGACGCAGCGACGGTAACGGGTCAGCGTGCAGACGGAGAAACCCGGCAGTCGAATCCGGATGACGCGTGGCAAAAGCTCATTCGCCAGCTGGAGGACTGTTTCGCGGATGAGGTGAGCGGAGCCTGGCTGACGTCATCCACATTGTCGCCTTCACATAAAGCTGACGGCTCTCACACCATTTTATCCCTGTTCGTCTCACCCTATTCTATCTCTCGTATTCCCCTTACCACTCAATCCGCCAGCGCCAGCACCACCACCAGCGCCAGCACCACCACCACCCACCATTCTATGCTCCTATCTCTCCTTTCCATCTTTCCATCGCCCTGCCTCCCTTCAGAAAGCCCCCTGGATCGTCCCTCTGCGGCCGCACTTCACAGCTGCTGCTGGTGCTAGTTCTTACTTCGGATATCCTCAGATTGCCACACCCTTGCACATGTTTCTCTCTCCCCTCTTCCTAACCTCCAGAAAGCCCCCTGGATCGTCCCTCTGCGGCCGCACTTCACAGCTGCTGCTCGCCGGGGGGACCCCTTCCTCTCCCTCCCTGCTGCCGTCCTCCCAGCCTTCGCCAAGAAGGTATCTCCACTCCACTCCACTCCACTCCACTCCTCTCCACTCCACTCCACTCCCCTCCACTCCACTCCACTCCACTGCACTCCACTCCACTCCACTCCACTCCACTCCACTCCACTGCACTCCACTCCACTCCACTCCACTCCACTGCACTGCACTCCACTCCACTCCACTCCACTCCACTCCACTCCACTCCACTCCACTGCACTCCACTCCACTCCACTCCACTCCACTCCACTCCACTCCACTCCACTGCACTGCACTCCACTCCACTCCACTCCACTCCACTCCACTCCACTCCACTGCACTCCACTCCACTCCACTCCACTCCACTCCACTCCACTCCACTCCACCCATTCATCCACCCCAGTCAACCAAAGGCCTTTTGAATGGTATTTTCCAGCAGCCATTGTCATTCAAGGGCCAGTTTTAATCTTTGCAGCAACCCAAATCCCAGTGTAGACCAGACCAGGCCAATCATTGTGCGCAGTTGTGCGTGCCTTTCACCATTTCCCCGAACATCCATCTCGCACCCATCCTCCTCCCTTCCAAACGTTGGCGGCACTCCAACACCGAACTCCGGCCATTTACCGCGGGTCATCGCTGCCTGCTCGGCCATCGACCCTGCGTGTGACAGCAACCCTGCAGCGGCTTTTTAAGTCAACCCAAACTCCCTCCCTCACTCCCCTGGCTCCCTCACTCCCCTGGCTCCCTCTCTCCCCCCCTTACCCCCTTTCCTCCCGCACCTTCTCTATCTCAGGTCACTGCTGCATGTGCATCCATCGACCCTGCATGTGACAGCAACAGGGGGGATGGATGGAACTCTCGACTCGACCCAACACCCCCCTCTCCCACTCCCCCACCCCCCGCTTCTATCTCAGGTCACTGCTGCATGTGCATCCATCGACCCTGCATGTGACAGCAACAGGGGGGGATGGATGGAACTCTCGACTCGACCCAACACCCCCCTCTCTCCCACTCCCCCACCCCCCGCTTCTACCTCAGGTCACTGCTGCATGTGCATCCATCGACCCTGCATGTGACAGCAACAGGGGGGATGGATGGAACTCTCGACTCGACCCAACACCCCCCTCTCTCCCACTCCGCCACCCCCCGCTTCTACCTCAGGTCACTGCTGCATGTGCATCCATCGACCCTGCATGTGACAGCAACCCGGCAGCGGCTGTAGCACTCGTGCTGGCAGCAGTTACCCAATCACAGACACTGGAGCTCGCTGCTGCTGCTGCAACTGCTGCGACACCTTTATCAGCTGCTGCTGCAACTGCTGCAACACCTTTATCAGCTGCTGCTGCAACTGCTGCAACACCTTTGTCAGCTGCTGCTGCAACTGCTGTAACACCTTTATCAGCTGCTGCTGCAACTGCTGCAACACCTTTATCAGCTGCTGCTGCAACTGCTGCAACACCTTTATCAGCTGCTGCTGCAACTGCTGTAACACCTTTATCAGCTTCTGCTGCAACTGCTGTCACACCTTTATCAGCTGCTGCTGCAACTGCTGTAACACCTTTATCAGCTGCTGCTGCAACTGCTGTAACACCTTTATCAGCTGCTGCTGCAACTGCTGTAACACCTTTATCAGCTGCTGCTGCAACTGCTGTAACACCTTTATCAGCTGCTGCTGCAACTGCTGTAACACCTTTATCAGCTGCTGCTGCAACTGCTGTAACACCTTTATCAGCTGCTGCTGCAACTGCTGTAACACCTTTATCAGCTGCTGCTGCAACTGCTGTAACACCTTTATCAGCTGCTGCTGCAACTGCTGTAACACCTTTATCAGCTGCTGCTGCAACTACTGTAACACCTTTATCAGCTGCTGCTGCAACTGCTGTAACACCTTTATCAGCTGCTGCTGCAACTGCTGTAACACCTTTATCAGCTGCTGCTGCAACTGCTGTAACACCTTTATCAGCTGCTGCTGCAACTGATGTAACACCTTTATCAGCTGCTGCTGCAACTGCTGTAACACCTTTATCAGCTGCTGCTGCAACTGCTGTAACACCTTTATCAGCTGCTGCTGCAACTGCTGTAACACCTTTATCAGCTGCTGCTGCAACTGCTGTAACACCTTTATCAGCTGCTGCTGCAACTGCTGTAACACCTTTATCAGCTGCTGCTGAAACTGCTGTAACACCTTTATCAGCTGCTGCTGCAACTGCTGTAACACCTTTATCAGCTGCTGCTGCAACTGCTGTAACACCTTTATCAGCTGCTGCTGCAACTGCTGTAACACCTTTATCAGCTGCTGCTACAACTGTTGCTGCTACAGCCTTATCTTCACAGGGGCATGGGAGTGGGGTGGGAGAAACGAGGGGGCTGGGAGAAGCGTGTGAGGGAGAGTCACGCGAGGGATTCCCTTGGTCTGGTTTTTGGGTGAGGCGGCGGGAGGCAGCTTCTGGGAAGGTTCTTCAGGAGCTGCTGGTAGCAATGCCTGCTGTGAAGAAAGCCACAGACGGAGAGGGAGGGGGAGGGGGAGGGGGAGGGGGAGGGGGAGGGGGAGGGGGAGGGGGAGGGGGAGGGGGAGGGGGAGGGGGGAGGGGGAGGGGGAGGGGGAGGGGGAGGGGGAGGGGGAGGGGGAGGGGGGAGGGGGAGAGGGAGGGGGAGGGGGAGAGGGAGGGGAGGGGGAGGGGGAGGGGGAGAGGGAGAGGGAGGGGGAGGGGGAGGGGGACGGGTGGGAGCGAGGGATGAAAGAAGTGTGGATAAGGCAGGTGAAAAGGGAAAGGAAGGTTTGGCTGAGGATTCTGCAGGGAAGGAGGAGGTTAAAGAGGAGCCAGTGAAAGGGGCAGCTCTGAAACGCAAGGATGGGGAGGAGGGTCCTAAGACAGCAGGTGCTGCTGCAATTGGAATGGAAGGAGGAACGGGAGGGAAGGAAGAAGCGGAACGAGTAGGGATGAAGAAACATGAGGAGGGTGGGGAAAGGCGTGTGCCCATGGTGGTCATTCCATGCCCCTCATCCCCGTTATTGCATGCATGCCAGAAAAAACAAAACCACCAGCAGCACCAGCATCTCCAACAGCAGCTGCAGCAGCAGCAATGCAACCACGAGGTGCCACGGATGGTGAATTTGACTGTAAGGAGGGATGAGTACATTATGGATCGAATAGCAGAGGTGCTTGTAACGAGCTGGTCTGGGGATGAGAGCAGCAGTGGTAGGGTGGAGAAGGATGGCAGCAACGGTGGTAGTAGTGGCAGCAGAGAGGGCGAGCGGAGGGAGAGGAGCAGGGATAAGAGACAGGTGGTTGGTGGTGCAGATGCCGGGTCACTTGTCATCTCCAAGTGAGTGACGCCATCCCATTCAAAGTCCACCTTTGAGAATTCTTAAAACGATTGACAATGCGAATTGAACATAGTCGGTTGGTGCGGACTCTGGGTCACTTGTCATCTCCAAGTGAGTGCGACCATCCATTCATATCGTACCTATCTGTCTATCTCCATCCATCCATCCATCCATCCATCCATCCATCCATCCATCCATCCATCCATCCATCCATCCATCCATCCATCCATCCATCCATCCATCCATCCATCCATCCATCCATCCATCCATCCATCCATCCATCCATCCATCCATCCATCCATCCATCCATCCATCCATCCATCCATCCATCCATCCATCCATCAATTCATCCGTTTCTCACGAGTTGTCCTCATAATGATATTGACTCGCCCATTTTTTTTCTTCTTCCCCTGCCATATTTCCCCTCCCACCCCTCCCACGCACTCCCCACAGGCTACTGCACAAGCATCATCCCCACATGCGTCTTTTCTCCTTCCTCCCAGCCTCCCTCTCACTCCCTCACAACATCGCACCGCCACCAACACAACCATTAGAATCAGCAGCCGCAGGAGAAGAGGCAGCAAAAGAAAAATCAGCAAGAGAAGCTTCAGCACTAGCACCAACTGCCACTAGCACGGCACCCCGCCAGCTGGCAGTGAACAGCACGGCGAGCTGGCTGGCGGGGTGTGAGGTGCGGGGGCCTGCAGTGGTGGCGGTGGTGGAGGCATCGTGGAGCGACAGCCGGAGAGGGGAGATGGAGGAGGAGGGAGTGGTGGCATGGGACGTGTACAGGTGGGTGTATGTATGGGTGCTGTTACATGCTCCGCTCCTCGCCTCACTGCCGAGTTGACTTTTGAGTCGACTCAAAAGTCAACTCGGAGGGAGTGGTGGCATGGGACGTGTATAGGTGGGTGGGTGTATGTATGGGTGCTGTTACATGCTCCGCTCCTCGCCTCACTGCCGAGTTGACTTTTGAGTCGACTCAAAAGTCAACTCGGAGGGAGTGGTGGCATGGGACGTGTATAGGTGGGTGGGTGTATGTATGGGTGCTGTTACATGCTCCGCTCCTCGCCTCACTGCCTCTCTCCTTCTCCTCCACCGCCCTCTGGCGCGGCAGGCTCCCCAAGTTCAGACGCCCTGGCCCATCTCTTGCTCATAGTCACTGTCTATCTGTGCTCGTTCCGCCTCTCCTCACCACTCTCCATCCCTCTACACCCCCCCCCACCTCCCGCCACTCTCAAACCCCCTATCCCCCCCTCTCAGGCGTCTGCTCGCCTGTCATCCCAGGGGCATGTATCAGCTCAGCCCGGACGTGCCCCTCCTTGTCTCCTGTCCTCTCTGCCTCACTCTCTCACACACACACCGCCCATGTGCCTCTCTTCCTTTTAACACCCCCCCTCTCCTTCCCCTCCAGGCGCCTGCTCGCCCGGCAACCCAGGGGCATGTATCAGCTCAGCCTAGAAGCCCCTGTCCTCACCTCCTTACCTCTCTCCTAATCATCTTAATCTGTTCGTCCCACCCTCTCCACCCCTCTCCACCCCTCTCCACCTCTCCCTACTCCAGGCGTCTGCTCGCCCGGCAACCCAGGGGCATGTATCAGCTCAGCCTGGAAGCCCCTGTCCTCGCCTCCTTACCTCTCTCCTTCTCCTCCACGCCCCTCTGGCGCGGCAAGCACCCCAAGTCTATGCTTCTGGAGCTCTGCACCATGCAGCGCGCCATCGACTCCTCGCCGATGTGCATGGGCATGTGCGGCTTCAAGACTGAGCATCAGCAGCAGCAGGAGCAGGAGCAGCAGCAAGGGAAGGATGGGCGGCAGGATCAGGAGCAGAAGGATGAGGACCGGGAGAAGGCACAGGAGGAGCAGGAGGGGCAACGTGGGCAGTGCTGCTGCGAGCACAAGTCCATGCAGCTGGCAGTTGGAGACCCTGTGTTTGAGTTCCCATCCCCTTCAGGCTCCCTCATTCCCACAACCACAGCCACCACCACAGGCACAGGCATAGGCACAGGCCAAGGCTCTGGTGGTGCGAGTGGTGGCACCAGCAGCAGCAATACCACTAATGGCAACGGCACAGCTGTCAACAGTGGTGGGTTCAAATGCCGGGTGACCATCAACAGAGGCCCTTCCTCTCCTCCCTTGGTTGCTCTCTCCCCCCGCCGCTATGCTGCACGCATGGATGCAGTGCATGCTGCGTGCTTAGAGGCCTTGAGGGCGATTCAGAAGGAGTATGCGGAAGTGTGGGGGAGAGTGGTTGATCCCTGGGGGGCATGGGGGGGAGAGGGGCAAAGGGAGGAAGGAGAGGAAGGGGAGGACGGGGAACGAATGGAGATTTGTACAGGAGACGGAAATGGGGGGTATGGAGAGGAGAGGGAGGAGAAGGAAAGGGAGGAGGAGAAGAGGGAAGAGGAGGAGGATGGGGATGGCAGAATGGCAAGGAAGCGTTTGAAGGAGGTTGAAGATTCCTCCCCAACACGAGCACCCACCAGTGCAGTGCCAATGCTAGGCAGTACTGATGCCGTGGCAGCGCTAGGGTCTTCTCCACGCCCATCTCCCTCTTCCTCCTCCACACCTGCTGCCTTGGGCTGCCTCGTATCCATCTCCTATAGGGTATCTCTGCAACAGGGCGCAAAATTGCCTCACGGTTGCTCAGAAGAAGTCTGCTCGGAGGGCAAGGAGGAGGTGTGCTTGGAGAGCAAGGAGTGCTTCGAGTTTGAGTTTGGGCGGGGCTGTGTGGACGAGCGGATCGAGGCTGTGATTGGCCGCTTGCTGCCAGGTCAGACTGCTGACATCAGAGTTCCGATCCGCGGGCATCTGCCGCCCTTCCCGGCTCTGGAGGCGATTCAGCCTGCGACAGGTGAGGCAACGGTAGAATTGGGGTGGTGGTGATGGGGGTGGTGTGTGCTTATGAGACTGTCCCACTCCCATGTTCAGGCTCGTTATCACAGTGCATGCATGCAATGCAAGATCACCTCCTGCTGTTTTCAGGGATCCCATTGGGGCCGATGTCTTCTCGCCTGCATGCTCCTCCCGTTTTCCCATGCGGCCATACACCATGCCCGAATGCCCCATGCCCTATGCCTTATGCACCCTCTCATCCCAGGGCCCTCGGCCCTCCACTGGTGCATCACGCTCCTCTCAGTGGCAGCAGCGGAGGAGGAGGATTGCATGACGCAGCTGTCTTCTTTCCCCTCGTGCACCCCCCCCCCCCCCACCCCACTCCTCTCCATCCCAGGGCCTTCAGCCCTGCACTGGCGCATCACGCTCCTCTCAGTGGCAGCAGCAGAGGAGGAGGATCGCATGACGCAGCTGTCCTCACTTCACCCCCATTGTCTCCCTCCCTTTCCCCTCTTCCTTCCCAATCCCAGGGCCCTCAGCCCTCCACTGGCGCATCACTCTGCTATCAGTGGCAGCAGCAGAGGAGGAGGATCAAATCGATGCAGCCATCTTCTCCCCATCTCTCTCTTTCCCCTCATGCACCCCCACCTCCCCAACCCCCCCACCCTTCCCCCTATCCTCCCACTCCCAGAGTTCACAGCCCTCCACTGTCGAGTCACGCTGCTCTCAGTGGCGGCAGCGGAGGAGGAGGATCGAATCGATGCAGCCATCTTCTCCCCCTCCCTCTCCAAGCAACGCCTTGCCTTTGCCGCTGCACTCATCTCAAAGCACTCGCCGGCTTTCCTCGTGAGTCTGGAAATTCCAAGGATTGGTGTGTTGTGTTGCGCCTTCTCTGTGCTTCTGGCAGTTTTCAAGGATTTTCTCAAATCGCCTGATATTTCTCTCTTTCAGCCACCTCCGTCAGAAATCAAGAGGAAGTGTGCCCTTTCAAACCTTTCACCTGCTGCACTCTCAGCACCCTCCCTCAAATAATTTTCTTTCCAGATGTCTCTAAACTTTCAGCACCCATTCTCCCTCAAAGCCCCTACAGGTGAATGTTGGACGTTGCTCCGCCTCTCTCATCAACCACCTCCTGCCTCCTCAAAGAGAGAGGAAGCAGTGCTGTTAAGACCCTTCCACTCACACCCACAGCACCCATTCTCAACCCTTTGCATCCCTGCCAAACCTTTTACTTCCACTCACAACACCCATTTTCCCTGCCCCACTTCCCATCCCACCCCCAGCTGGATGTTGGGTGCGGGTCTGCCTCTCTCTTCGACTACTTGCTATCTGCTTCAGCCGCAGCAAGCAAGGGCAGTGGCAAGGCCGGTAGTGCTGGCTGTGACAATGGCAGTGGAAGCAGTGCTGAGCGATTTTGTTTACCGGCGAGCATGGTGGGGTTTGACATCAGTCAGAAGGAGCTGGAGCGGGCTGGTCGGGTGAGTGGTTGGGGCAGGGGATGGGGGGTGAGAGAAGGGGAGAGGGGGTGAGAGAAGGGGAGAGGGGGTGAGAGAAGGGGAGAGGGGGTGAAGGAAAGCTATGGGGTGGTTGGTGAAAGTTCAAGCATGGTGGGGTTTGACATCAGCCAGAAGGAGCTGGAACGGGCTAGTCGGGTGAGTGCCGTGGGGGGGGTTGAGTGGGTGGGTGCAAGTGTGGAGTTGATGAGCATCAAAGCTGTGAGGACGGTGATAGATGTTGTGAGAAGATGCAAGTAGAATGTTTGGCGGCGAGCATGGTGAGATTTGACATCAATCAGAGGGAGCTGGAACGGGTTGGAAGGGTGGGTGGATGCGGCAGGGGACGGGGGTGAGGGCAGTGGGGAGGAGGTGATAGGAAAGAAAGCAATGAAAGCGCTGGAAAGATTTCACAGAGGTTAAATCTACTGCAACTCACATCACTGGTCCTGTATGTGCCCATACCTGCTTTTGAGTCGACTCAAAATCTCACTGGCTGCTCCTGTCTGTATGTGCCCATACCTGTAGTGTCCTCCTTCATGCTTCAACCCCCTCAACCTCCCCCCCTTCTCCCTTTTTCGCGCTCCTCACCAGCCCCTTTTTTCCATGGCTTTCTATTCTACCTACGCCCCTTGACTGGTATCAGAGCCTAACTCGCACCATAACAAGCCTGCAAGCAGCCTCACAGCCGGCAGCAGACGCAGCCACTGCAGCAACACAGGTTGAGCCGGCACCTGAAACAACCTGCACCGTTGCAGCACGAGCAGCATCAGCACGGTTGGCGCTCTATGCCGGTTCCCTTGCTGACGTGGACGATCGCATGAAGGACGCTGATGTGGCAACTTGCTTGGAGGTATGCAATGGATTGAACATGTGTGTCACATGCAACTTGCTTGGCGTTCCATACATATATCCATTTTGGATTTTCCAGTTGTTACTATCCTTACAGCAGCACCTGTGCCCATGTGCTTGTGCGCGTGTGCTTGCTCTCATGCGCGTTTCCATCTCTGTGCTCGTCTGTGCATGCTGTGTGCATCGAGTACAATTCTGCCATTTCTACCCTGCCCCATCAGGTGGTGGAGCATTTAGACGAGGAGCCACTGGCAGCCTTTGGGGCCGTGGTGCTGGGGGCACTCAGACCCCGCGTTCTGCTTGTCTCCACTCCCAACATCGAGTACAATCCTGCCATTCGTGCTGCCACCGCTGCTGCTGCTGCTGATGCGACCGCTGCTGTTGCTGATGCTCCTGCGGCTGTTGCTGGTGCTTCTGCTGGTGTTGCTGCTGTAGCTGATGCTCCTGTGACAGCTGCTGCTACTGTGACTGATGCTGCTGCTGCTGCTACTGCGAATGATTCTGCAACAGCTGCTGCTGTCGCTGCTGCTGATGATGCTGCTACTCCTGCTGCTGCTGCTGCCGGTGATGCTGTCACTGCGCTTGCTAACGGTTTCAAGCAGCAGGATCCTCCACTGCAGCAGCCACAAGAAGCAGCAGGGCAGGCAGGAGGAGGGAAGAAGAGGCGGAAAAAGAAGAAGGGACAGCAGGCAGGCCAGCAGGCGGATCAGACAGGACAGCAGGCAGGTCAGACAGGACAGCAGCCTCAGGAGCAGCAGCAGCAGGAGTTGCGAAATTCTGATCACCGTTTTGAGTGGACCAGGGAGGAGTTTGAATCCTGGGCGAATGCTCTGGCCCAGGAGTATGGTTACCATGTTACATTCGGTGGAGTGGGCGTGCTGCCAGAAGCAGAGCACCTGGGATTCGCCACACAAACAGCTGTATTTGAGAGAGCTACATGTGAGATGAAGGATTTAGGTCTGGGTGAGGTTGAGAGGATGGACATAGATTCTTCCAAGTTGATAGAAGATTTGGAGGGTGAGAAGAAGCTGTATGAATTGGTCTGGGATCATCACTTAGCTTGCTAATAGATTTCATGAAATTACTGTGTAAGAACATTTGCAATTTCATGAGATTCAATTTGCAGGATCTGATGTGGGTCAGGTGCGGTGTGTCGTGGTTGCATTTCGGTATGGAGTGGGCCCTCTGGGGAGAGTTGAGGGGAGGAGAGCAGCAATGGACAGAAACGAGCTTCGCTCGCTCAGGGATTGCCGTCACAGCATTGGTTGGCATTCACGACGAATCACTAGCTTCGTGCTTCATCATTGGTATAGACCAGCCGACATTCCCAATGTGGTCATAACAATCTGGGACTGGGCCAGGACACGGCAGCAGCGCAGTGCAGGTGACTGACAGCCGCACGAACTGCTCCAAGTACATAACGTTTGTTCCCGCACCGCACTGTCTTATTTTTTTCTCGTGGGGCTCCCCTGATGTGGGTTCGTAACACCATCCCCCTCGAGAACTCCGCGGCTCGCCTCTCGCGTTTCATCATCCCGTTCGAGAAAAACATTGTCACTCCAATCTCGAGCTTGCCGAAAAGTTATCTGATCCACGTCAGCACCACGGCCGTCCGTGGCTCTCCCAGCCACACTAACCCAGTCATCCCATCCGCTACCGCTAATCCAGCCAACGGTCGGAGCACTCACCCACTTACTCGCAGCTTTCCTCCTTCCAGTGCGTTTTTTATTGGTTCGTCTTCCCAGAACCGTACACCCGTCCGAGACTCAATCCCCGCCGTTTTCCGAGCCTCGGCTCGTCAATTTGACCCGCACTCTCCGCTTGATCAGACCGCGTATCGCGATCTTGACCAGAAGAAACGCGGCTCGCCGTTACGAAGCCGCGCGGATAAGCGACGGTTTGGCGTAACAGCAAAAGCAGCAGCAGCCATGGATGGAACGCCAGGTTCAGCAGTCGCTGCAGGTGCTGTAACGGGAACTGCAGCTCCCTTGGCGAAACTATCCCGCCGGATCGTGAATACCGACGAACCCGTTATTGTTCAGGTCCGTTATTGTTTCTTCCCTTGGGCCTTTTAGTAATCTTAGTGAATTCTTAGACGATCCGAGGTCATTGTGGATTGATAGGACCTCATAACTTTTATTCGTGTCTTATCTCGATTTCGTCTCTGTCACTATCCAATTTCTTCTCCCTCTCTCTCTCCACTATCCTTCTCTCTCATCTCTTCTCTCCCCCATCCCTCTCCCCCATCTCTTCCCCCTATCTCACCCCCTCTCCTCACAATCTCCAGATGCGGGACCTAATGACTCTCAACCCTGACGTCAATGTCCCATCTCTCTGTACAATGTCCCCTGCATCTTCCCTGTCCCTCCCCTCTCGCCAGATGCGTGACCTCATGACACTCAATCCTGACGTCATGTCGTTGGGTCGGGGCGTGGTGTACTGGTTACCACCCGTCGCAGTCAGCAGTGCTTAAGAGATTCTCTGTTGCGCATCTCCCCTCTTTTATTCATCTCCCCCACGTCCCGCTCTCCCCAATCTGTCCCTCATAACCCTCCCTCGCTTCAGATGCGTGATCTCATGACGCTCAACCCTGACGTCATGTCGCTGGGCCAGGGCGTGGTGTACTGGTTACCGCCCGATGCAGTCCTGGCAGCAGCGCAGGCAGCGGTGCATGACCCAGTGAGCAGCGGGTACGGAGTGGACGATGGCACCAAGGAGCTCCGGGCAGCGCTGGTAGAGAAAGTCAAGACGGAGAATGGACTTATGGACTCGTCCATCATGGTTACTGCTGGGGCCAACCAGGTGAGGGAAAGCCAAGGCACGAAGCTGTAGGCATACATGCCAACAGCGCACAGCGCAGGCAGCAGCGCAGGCAGTAGCACAGGCAGTAGTGCTGGCAGCAGCGCAGGCAGCGGTGCATGACCCAGTGAGCAGCGGGTACGGGGTGGACGATGGCACCAAGGAGCTCTGGGCAGCGATGGTAGAGAAAGTCAACACGGAGAATGGACTCGTGGGTTCCTCTATAATGGTCACTGCTGGAGCCAATCAGGTGTGCTCGGGGGAGGTAACGCACATGCCAATCAGGTGTGCTCGGGGGAGGTAACGCACATGGCAACCACCGTATGGTGTGGACAGTGCACATGCCCTTCCACTCCAATCCCTCTTATACAACCCTACAGCCTGACCTTCATTGACCCTCTATCTCCCTGCAACTCCACCCTCCCCTATCCCCAGGCAGTCATGAACGTGGTGCTGACGCTCTGTGACCCCGACGTGACTTATGGTATGGGTCGACTTGACTCAAATGCTAAGTGGGAATATACGCTCAAACCTGTCTGCGTTTAGCGTATACACGCTAGCGTGTATACGCAAAACGCTAAACGCTATCGAATACGCTATACGCTCGCCACATTTTTTTTGGGGCAGCCCGGCCAGAAAATTTCAACCTATACGGTTCGCTTCGGAATTGCACGACGAAGACATTGGCGGGGTCAGATGGCACGTCCGCGCTGTGTGCTAGCGTGGACGTGGGTTGAAAGTTCGTGTCGCAAATGGAAAGTCACGTTCGTCGAGTCGCGCCTGCACGTTCCCTCACATTTTGGTGTTCACTATCAGTACCGCATTCAAACCCTTCGCAACCAACACCTCTCCAATTTTTGTTGGCCATCTTCCCACTCCCACAATCAACTCGCCATAAAACAAGCACACCCCCAACATCCAACTCATTAGGTCTTCTCTCGCTACTAGCAGAGCACTAGGCATTCCCTAGCGCATGGTGCCTATGTCGACGACTACTACCTCTCCTCTAACGCCACCGTCAGTTAACACCGTTGGCAGTTCGCAAACTCTTCTAACCGAGGCACGGGAGTATCTCCCCGACGTTGACCATGCCGTCTTCAAGCACTTCCGCATCATCAAGAGGGTCGAGGGAAAAGCTCAGCAGTACGAGTGCAAGTTCTGCAGCAACGTCTACACTGGTGCTGCCATCCGATGCGCGCAACACTTCACGTCGTGGAAGGGGATGAAACGCCGTGAAGTGGTGCTTTGCAAGGATGCGCCGCAAGATGTGCGCTTGGCCATGCGCGCGAAATACGAGGCAAAGGCTGCTGCGGCCGAAGAGAAGAGGCGGGCAGCAGCTGAAGCGGTTGCCGCAGTCAAGGCTGATTGTGTGAAGCGGGTGCGCATCACCGATTACCTTGAGGGGGATGCGGCTGCAAGAAAGAGAGAAGCGGACGAGGCACTTGCGCTTGCTTGGGCCGCCCTCCATATCCGCGAGCGCCACATTGACCATCCTCTGATGGTCAATGCATTGAACCTCGTCAAGCGCGCCGGCGTCGACTATGTCCCTCCCAAGAGGAAATACATCGGCGGTGCTGGCCTTCTCTCATGTCGCAACGGAATCGAGCAGGGTTTGGTGGGCATTAAGGCGAGCTGGAAGAGGACGGGCGTGACAATTTCGTCCGACATGATGACGGACCGCAACGGCAGGCCGCAGGCCAACGTGCTTCTCGTAAACGATTCCGGCGTCGTCTTCACCGACTGTATTGACTGCAACATGGAGAGGAAAACCGGAGGTTACGCGGCAGGGATTCTTAGGCCTGCGGTGGAGGAAGTGGGTCCAGAAAACGTTGTTGCGTTCTGCATGGACGGGGGGTCGAACTATGCGGTGGCGGTGAAGCAGCTCTTACAGGAGTGGCCGCACATTCGAGATGTGCCGTGCGCCACTCACGTATTGGATCTTCTCATGGAAGATGTCGGGAAGATGGGATGGGCTAAGCCGGTGGTCGACAAGGGAGGGGAGATATCTAGCTTCGTCCGCAACCACCACTGGACCCGAGGGTACCTGCGAAAGCCGGAATTGGTGGAGGGGAAGGTTCTGCAGGCGCTGAAGCCGGCTGGAACCCGATTCGGGACCAACTACATAGCCATATCCCGGCTATGTGCGATGTGCGACAGCTTTACCAACATGGTGACGAGCGAGGGTTGGAAGGAGTGGGCGGTAGGGGACTGGAAGAAATCGTGTGACGGGTTCAGTGTGCTGATCCATGATGCCGCCTAGTGGAAGACGGTCGAGTTCTTCGTCGCATCGCTGAAGCTGCCCTTTAAGGTGATGAGGCAGATGGACGGGCATGCCAAGGGGATGATGAGGAGGCTGTACGATTTGATGCTGCAGTTGACTGAGGACGTGGGGGGCTTGCTCGATGCGGACGAGGAGCAGCTGAGCGACGGGGACAAGGACAAGATCCGCCGCATCCTCAGAGACCGCTGCGACGGCAGCCTCGCATGCGCCATGCATGTCGCTAGCCGCATCCTCAACCCCGCGAATCAGGAGGAAGATATTTTCGGCACTGATCCCGAGTGCACGAAAGTCTTCAAGGCGTTCATCAGCCAGCAGGCCGAGTTCCTTTTGAGCCGCGAAGATGGGGGGGATGACGCGTGCGACATCTTGATTGAGCTGGGGGACGGGCTGAGGGCGTTCCTTGACATGAAGGGTTCTTTTGGGATGCCGGAAGCCGTGGCACAGAGGAAGCTGGTGAAAGAGGGAAAGTATAGCATGGTGAAGTGGTGGCAGTGGAATGGGACTGATGCCCCTCGAGTGGCGGGGCTCGCGGTACGGGTGCTGTCTCAGGCCGTGTCAGCCTCACCTTGTGAGCGTGGATGGCCCTCGTGGGATGCCGTCCACACCGCACGTCGCAACAGGCTCGGATCCGCCAAGTGCAGGGACTTGGTCTATGTTGCGCACAACTGGAATGTTGTGCGCAACTGGCACACGCGCGTTGATGTCTTGCCACATGTGGTGCCCGGGATTGGAGCGGAGCCTCCAATCCCGACGGGGTACAATGGGCTGGAAGACGAGACGAAGGGAGAGGATGAGGAGGAAGGCGAAGACGACATCCTCGAAGACGAGTACGCTAACTAGAGGGGGCAAATGTGGCTTGCTGTGGGCGGCTAGTCCTAAGGAGTAGTAGTATGTAGCTTGTCTTAGAGAGAAGTGATGGTCGTGATGGAGTAGTGATGATAGTAGTGATGGTAAGTGATGATGGTAAGTGATGATAGTAGTGATGATAGTGATGATAGTAGTGATGACAGTAGTTATGTGTAGGCCGTGGTATATGTGTAATGTGGAAAAAAAAAAAAAACTGAAACTTCAGGCCCCATACCCACCCCCCCCCCCCCCCCCCCCCCCCCCCCCCCCCCGGCGCCTTTTTTTGACCCTGCCCGGGAAGTTTTTTTTCTGCCCGAAAAAGCGTATTTCCAAACCCGTCCCTACAGCGTATAGTGTATATAAGAGTGCGTATATACGAAAAGCGTATATACGCAATAAGCGTATATTCCCACTAAGCTCAAATATTGCTCTGTGACCCCTTTTTGAGGCGCCTCAAACATCCTCCCAGGCAGTTGTGAACATGGTGCGGACGCTCTGTGCCCCCCGATGTGACTTTTGAGTCGACTGGATTCAAATGTCGCTCTGTGACCCCCGACGTGACTTATGAGTCGACTCGATTCAAATGGCGCTCTGTGACCCCCGACGTGACTTATGAGTCGACTCGATACAAATGTCGCTCTGTGACCCCCGACGTGACTTTTGAATCGACTCGATTCAAATGTCGCTCTGTGACCCCCGACGTGACATTTGAGTCGACTCGATTCAAATGTCGCTCTGTGACCCCCGACGTGACTTATGAGTCGACTGGATTCAAATGTCGCTCTGTGACCCCCGACGTGACATTTGAGTCGACTCGATTCAAATGTCGCTCTGTGACCCCCGACGTGACTTATGAGTCGACTCGATTCAAATGTAGCTGTGACCCCGACGTGACTTTAGAGTCGACTGGATTCAAATGTCGCTCTGTGACCCCCGACGACGCAGTGGTTCTCTTCAAGCCCGTCTACTTCAATACAGGGCCCCAGTTCTGCTTTTGAGTCGACTCAAAAGCCGTCTACTTCAATACAGGGCCCCAGTTCTGCTTTTGAGTCGACTCAAAAGCCGTCTACTTCAATACAGGGCCCCAGTTCTGTATCATTTCACAACCCTAGTTCCAATCCAACCCTACGGCCCTACCCTCCCCAACCTACAGGCGTTTGTGAACGTGGTGCTGACGCTCTGTGACCCGGATGACGCTGTGGTGCTCTTAAAGCCGTTCTACTCCAACCTCCCCCATACGCCTTGAATCCTTCTAACCCTGCATCCTCCTTCAACCCTACCTTTCTGTATTTCTAAATACCAGGCGTTCGTGAATGTGGTGCTGACGTTCTGTGACCCGGATGACGCTGTGGTGCTCTTAAAGCCGTTCTACTCCAACCTCCCCCATACACCTTGACTCCTTCTAACCCTGCATCCTCCTTCAACCCTACCTTTCTGTATTTCTAAATACCAGGCGTTCGTGAATGTGGTGCTGACGCTCTGTGACCCGGATGACGCTGTGGTGCTCTTCAAGCCGTTCTACTTCAACCACCAGATGGCCTTTCAGATGACTGGTGTCACTGACATCGTGTATGGGCCCTGTGACTCTGACACCCTGCATCCCAGCGCTGGTGAGTGCATGATTTTCGAGACTTTAACAGTCCCTCCTACCCCTGTTCAAGCCGTTCTACATCAACCATCAGATGGCGTTTCACATGACCGGCGTGACTGACATCGTGTATGGGCCCTGTGACTCCGACACCCTTCATCCCAGCGCTGGTGAGTATAGATGGTTCCTGAGTCACAGTCCGTTCTGCCACACTCCGTTCTGCCACACTCTCACATCTTACCTACCCACCACCCACCACTTCCTCACTAGACTTTACCAACCACCACTATGGGATCACTTTTGAGAAATATCAAGATCACAAGCTCTTACCCACCCACCGATTCCTATTTTCTCCTTCTGTACTCCCATGCTGCCACCTGGCACAATCAGATTGGCTAGAGGAGGCGCTTTCAGGGAAGGAGGGCAGGAAGGTTCCCAAGGTGGTGGTGATAACCAATCCCAACAACCCCACCGGGACCTATGTTCCCGAGGACTTACTGCGGGTATGGATCGTTTTTACCCTGCATAATTGTAGGTATCTACTTGAAACGCCCCCCGGTGCAAGCAAGTTGGGGGTGATCAAGGTTCCCAACTTTCCTTTCCCTACCCCCGTCCACCTCGCCCTCTTCCCTCTCTCCCCCCTCCCTCCGCCTGTTCCTCCTCCTCCCACCTAACTATCTTTTCCCATTGTTGCTTCTCCCCCACCCACCCCTCCTTCCCTCGGCCCTTTCTTCCCTCCTTCCCCCACGTCCCACATTCCCTCCCTCCCTCGCTCCTTCTTTTTCAGCTTTTCTGCCCTTCTTCCACCTCCCTGCATTGTTGCGTGCAATACCCTTCCTTATCCCTATCCCCGCTACAGAGAATCTCCGCTATATGTGAGAAGGCTGGCTCCTGGCTGGTGCTTGACAATACCTACGAGTACGTATTCCCCCTCCTTAAAATGATAACACTCGCATTATATATACCCCCTTTTCAAGTCGACTCAAGAATACATATCCCCTTGAGTCGCGATGTATCATGTTATCATATTCCCCTTGAGACTTTTTTACGCCGCTCCAAACAGCATGTGCGATGTGCCATACATGCCATGTGCTCTAAGGCACCTTGTACAATAAAATACCCCTGCTGCCATGCCCCATGCTCGAAACACACGCACCCAGGTACGTCATGTGCAGTGGTGCTAACCGCCATGTGTGCAGCGGGCAATTCTTTAGGTGCCTGAAACCCATGGTCCCCTCCCTTGCCCGTGCTGTGCTCTCCAAACACTCCCTCCCGCCCCGGGTACTTCATGTACGGTGGTAACCGCCACATGTGGCTGGACCCTGGAGGGCGATTTGTTAAAGGCCTGAAACAATAACCATGTTTGTTTCCCTTTTCCTGTGTGCCCTCCAAACACCCTCAGGTACTTTATGTACGGTGGTAACCGCCATGTGTGCCTGGAGGCCCCTCACGTGCTCAACATCTTCTCCTTCTCCAAGGCCTATGGCATGATGGGATGGCGCGTTGGCTATGTGAGTGGATTGGTTCTCACCAGCGTGTGAATGTTATTCTCTTCCTTGCACCTCTTCATACACCTTCACGCCGCTCCACCCAGATCACCTACCCCAGCTCTTCCTCTCATCTCAGCCCCTCTCTCATTAAAGCCCAAGACACCATCCCCATCTGTGCCAGTCTCACGGTCTCACCCAATTTCCCGCTACCTTCTATCCCCCTCTCGTGTCCCCCTTTTCCCCCCTCCCTCTACCCCTCCACCCAGATCGCGTACCCCAACTCCTCCCCTGGGCTTGGCCCGTCTCTCATTAAAGCCCAGGACACCATCCCCATTTGTGCCAATCTCATTGGTCAGCAAGCAGCCCTCGCCGCTCTCCAATCCCCTTCCGCCGGGAAACCCTTCGTCGACCGCCTTATCCAGACCCTATCCCCGAACCTGGAGGAGGCTCGGGACGCCCTAGCCATGCTCACAGGTCCGGGGGTTGGAGGGCGGGTGTGGGGCGGGGAGGGGGCGATTTACCTTTGGGCGAAGCTTCCGGAAGGATGTGAAGATGATGGGGCTGTGGTGAGGTGGTTGGTGAGTGAACATGGTGTGGTGGTTATTCCGGGGAGTGCGAGCGGTGCACCCGGGCATATTAGGGTGTCTTTTGCAAACTTACCCGCGGAAAAGTACAAGGTTGCTGCAGGGAGGTTGAAGAAGGGGCTTCAAGAGCTGGTTGAGAAGGGGATGAGGTTTCCTCTAAGTCAGTAAATGGAACGCCAGCTAAATGTACAATCTCTATACTGCCTATGCCTCTAGACCATTTCAGACTGTACTTGAATGTCTAGTTTGCATGTTATGATGTACATTAAATCCAGCTGCTAAAATAGTGAACCGTAAACTTGAAAACGAGTTTTTTCGTAAGCCCGTTGAAGCGATCAAGAACATTGTTCCAAACAACCCGTCTAAACTGTTGGACTGAGAAAATAGCCCTTACGATCTTTGCAGAGGTGATCTCTGGGTAGAACTGATTTAGTAGCGGAAGCGTTTTAATGAAGAGTTTGTGAACCACCATGCGCTAGTATGTGGGGCAAAGTTGATTGATTAAAGCAGAGAGATACAAGATTATATAAGAGTACAAGGAATACGAAGAGATACGGTTCCAACTGTTTTGCTGTTGCTGTTGCGGTTCGATACAGTGACGACTCGGGCAACTGCTCTGTAACGAGTCAGTTGTGTGTCCTTGCTGTCGTGTTGTACTTGTCAGGTCAAAGGTCACTGACCTTTGACTTTTGCGTAACCTCCAGCAACTGCTCAACTTCCGAGGGTTGACTCGCCAGTGCTTCGATATGCTTCGTTTTGCTTCTGACTTGGTGTTTCGACACGACAGAGGCGCTTAGAGTTAATTGTTTCCAACACTCCCCTTCGCTTCTGGAGTGTCGCTCCTGGTGACGTGGCTCTGTCCAGTCAGCAGCATGCAGTACTCGAACTTCTGCTTTCCGAGCTTCTTGGTCAAGTAGTCAGCTGCCATCTCGGACGTGGGGCAGTTTGACAGTGTCAAATTATATATACTTGTTTAGGTTATCTAGGCTGCATGGGGGTTAGCACTAGGGGGTACAGAAACTTTCTCGATACCCTAGTCTTGTACCCACCCCTTCACCTAATTCCGTCATCCTTGCCTTACTTCTTAATATGGTAACTAGAGCAGGAGGTCTCTATGACTTACGAATCGGGCCCACCTAACTGCCTGCCTTGCCTACTGCTCGAGCGCGCCTCGGCTGCAGCGCGCGTCACTTTTTTTTTTTTTCCGCGCGCGCCTTGGTTTCTAGCGCGCGCGTCACTTTTTTATAGCGCGCGCCACTGCTGCAGAGCCGCGCGCCGGCCCGTGTCGCCCGCGCAGCCTGCGTAGAGCTCGCGTGCCCCTTACGCCGCCCGCGCGCAGCCTGCTTAGGCCCGTCGCCGCACGCAGCCCGTCGCCATGTACAGCCAGGAGCCGCGCGCGGCACGTAGCCATGCGCAGCAGAGAGCCGCGCGCAGCCCTTAGCCGCACGCAGCCATCAGCCACGCGCGCCCTACTCGTGTACCTGCCTCTGAGGCTCACTGCTGCCGAGCCCGTTGCCTTAGAACTGTGCGGCCTGCTACTGTCTAGAGCCCCACCTTAGGAGCTCAAGTGCAGCAAGCTACTGCCCTGCACGTTGCCTGTACTGCCTACTGCCTACTGCCTCTCTCTTAGCCTGCTGTCTACTGCCTGCTGCCTCCGGTCTACTGCCTACTGCCTCTGTCTTAGCCTGCTGTATACTGCCTGCTACCTCGTGTCTACTGCATGCCTGCTTTCTGTCAAACATTATATATGTTGTGTTAGTTTAGGCTACAGTGGGTTAGCCTATAGGGGGTACACAATTCTAGGGTTAGGTTTTGACCTATTTGTACCCAACTGTCATTCTAGTCAATCATTCCTGTTTCGTACTTCTAACATGGTTTCAGAGCAGGTCCTTTGCTAGGACCGATTTTTTTTTTTTAAGGGCCCACCACTACCTACCTAACTACCTGCGCCTAGAGCGCCTCGTTCTTAAGGCCCCCTGAGGCCCTCGCGTGTCGCCCCTTAAGGCCCCTCACGGCCCCGTACGTCGCCCCTTAGCGACCCCTTCGGCCCCGCGCTCACCTCCCTAGAGGACCCGTCGGCCCCAAGCTAGCCTCTCACGGCCCCCTTCAGGCCCCGCGCTAGCCCCTTAAGGCCCCGCGCGGCCCCGCGCTAGCCTCTCACGACCCCTTAAGACCCTGCGCTAGCCCCTTAAGGCCCCCCGTCGGCCCCGCGCTAGCCTCTCACGGCCCCCGAACGGCCCCGCGCTAGCCCCGAACGGCCCCGTGCGGCCCCGCGCTAGCCTCTCACGGCCCCTTCAGGCCTCGCGCTAGCCCCTTAAGGCCCCCCGTCGGCCCCCCGCTAGCCTCTCACGGCCCCCGAACGGCCCCGCGCTAGCCCAGAACGGCCCCGTGCGGCCCCGCGCTAGCCTCTCACGGCCCCTTCAGGCCCCGCGCTAGCCCCTTAAGGCCCCCGTCGGCCCCGAGCTAGCCTCTCACAGCGCGACCCAGGCGAACCGCGCGACCCGAGCCGAGCCGCGCGACCCGAACCGAGCCGCGCCGCCCTCACCGAGCCGCGCCGCCCTACCAGCCGAGCCGCGCCATCCAGCAGAGCCCCGACCCGAGCTGCACCGAGCCGCGCCGCCCTGCCCTATCTGGTTCGTCCTACCTACTTCTGCTACTGCTACTGCTACTGCTACTGCTGCTAGTCTACTGTTCCTATGGCTAGCCCACAGGTTCTTGTGTTCGATGCTGAGGGCCGCCTTGTGAAGTTTGACACCTGGCTCGATGACCTGCACCTCTACCTACAGCTCACAGCCAAGGATGACATCTCACTGTACGATCACGCCCTAGGCAATGTCACTGCCCCTGCTGCTACTGCTGACAGCACTGCTCGCTCACAGTGGCAGACTCGTGATGCCCACGCTCGCTTCGCCATTCGCAACTCCCTGCCGATAGACGAACGCGAGCACTTTGGCCAGCACAAGACTGCACAGGCACTGTACACAGCTGTCGTTGCTCGCTACTCCTCACCTGCCTCTGCCGCACTAGGCCGTCTCTCCCTCCCCTACCTGTTTCCCGACCTGTCCTCCTTTCACACAGTCGCTGACCTCATCACGCACCTCCGCACTAGTGAGGCCCGCTTCCGTGCCGCCATGCCTGCTGAGTTCCTTGCCATGCACCCCCCTCCACTCTGGCTCACTCTCTACCACCTAGTCACCCGCCTCCCTGACACACTGCGTGCTGTCAGGGACCACTTCCTAGCTCGTTGCCCCACTGAGCTCACCATTGCCCTCCTCAAGAAGGAGCTCCTTGCAGCTGAGACTAGCATAGTCGCTGTAGGTGCCTCTCGTGGCGACCCCCATACCCCGTTCTTTGAGGGGTGTTCTCCTTCCCCCCTTCTTCCCTCTGTCGCCTCTGCTGCTGCTGTCGACGTTCTTGGTGCTGAGAAGGTCGGCGCTGCGTCCGCCTCGAGCGGGCGCTGCAGCGGCAAGGGCAAGGGGGGCAAGGGTGGTAGCAGTGACGGCGGGGGAGGCGGCGGTGGGGGCGGTGGAGGCAGTGGGGGTGGTGGCTCGGCTGGAGGGGTGAGTGGTAGCGGTGGGGGTGGTGGCGGCGGCGGCGGGGGAGGTGGCAGGAGTGGAGGCGGCGGTTGGGGTGGCGGTGGACGAGGCGGCGGCAGGGGTTGGGGTGGTCGAGGAGGTGGCAGCGGTGGTGGTGGCCGTGGAGGCACTGGCGGTGGCCAGGGCCAGCAGCACACTCCCTCGCCCCAGGAGGTCCGTGAGTGGTACTCTCAGCACGGGGGTGGGGGTGGTCCTAGCTGCACGTACGTCATTTGCACTGGTGACCGCACTTGTCAGCAGTGTGGACGACCGCACGCCACACAGCGCTGCTTCTCTCGTCTCGACGACGCTTGACGTGCTCAGTTCCCTCAGGCCACTGAGCTGCCCCACTGGTTTGATCTCCTGAAGAAGGGGATTGATATCTATGCTCTAGACTTTAACGCTCTTCTATCTGCCATGTATGTGATTTCTACTAGTGAAGAGGGTGCCGAGTACTTGTGTGTGCTGCCCGACCCGGGCATTAGGGCCAGTGCGTCTGCAGCTCCAGGTACTCGCGTGTCGGCTACCCCAGGTGCTGGTGAGGCTGCTGCTCTAGGTGCTCGTGTGTCTCCCCCCCCTGGTACTGCGTCGACTGCCGCACTGCACACCTTCACACTGGACTCAGGTGCTTCTCGCTACTTCTTTCGTGACCGTACTGCCCTTGAGCCGCTTGCTCGGCCAGTTGCTGTCTCGCTTGCTGACCCCTCTGGGGGTCCGGTCATTGCGACCTCTTCCGCTGTCCTTCCCTGCCCTGCGGTCCCGTCGGGCACACTGTCACGTCTCCACCTCCCCTCGTTCTCTACGAACTTGGTGGCAGGATGTGCTCTCCAGGACGGGGGTGTTCACCAGTTCACCCCTGCCTACGAGCGCGTGACCCACTGCACGTGTGCTCGTACGGGCCGTCACTTGGCTACCTTCACTCGGCAGCCGGGGTCGGACCTGTACACACTGACTACTGCCTCCCCTCAGGTCGCTGCGTCTGCGTTTACGTCCGCGTCAGGTCAGCTGTCTGCCCCCTGCTCGTGTCGCTCTCTAGCACATGAGACTGTCCTCTGGCACCACCGACTTGGCCACCCTTCTGTGCAGCGCCTTTGTGCCATGCACTCCCGGTACCTTGTCTTTGGTCTTCCCGGGGTCCTCCCTCCCCTCCCACCCTCGCCTGCTCCTCCCTGCCTTCCCTGTGTCGAGGGGCGGCAACGCGCCGCTCCTCACTCCTCCTCGTTTCCCCCAACGACTGCTCCTTTGCAGACGCTCCACATGGACGTGTGGGGCCCAGCCCGCGTCCGTGGTCAGGGTCCGGAGAGGTACTTCCTGATCGTTGTTGACGACTACTCGCGCTACACCACGGTCTTCCCCTTGCGCACCAAGGGTGAGGTCCCTGATGTTTTGATCCCTTGGATCCGCAGAGCTCGTCTCCAGCTCAGCGAGCATTTCCGCTCGGACTTTCTTGTCCTGCGCTTGCACTCTGACAGAGGTGGTGCGTTCTCCTCCGACCTCTTGGCAGCCTACGGTGCTGAGCGCGGCATTGAGCACTCGTTCACGCTTCCGGCCTCTCCACAGCAGAATGGGGTTGCAGAGCGCCGCATTGGCCTGGTCATGGAGGTCGCTCGTACCTCCTTGATCCATGCGGCTGCCCCCCACTTTCTGTGGCCGTTTGCGGTCCGGTACGCTGCGCATCAGCTCAACCTCTGGCCCCGTGTCTCCTTGCCGGAGACCTCGCCCACGCTGCTATGGACGGGGGAGGTTGGCGATGCGTCGCGTTTCCGGGTCTGGGGATCTCGAGCTTTTATCCGCGATTCGTCTGCGGACAAGCTCTCCTCTCGTGCTGTTCCCTGCGTCTTCCTCGGCTTTGTTCCGGACGCGCCTGGTTGGCAGTTTTACCACGCCACCTCGCGCCCGGTCTTGCCCTCTTAGGACGTCACTTTTGACAAGTTTGTCCCTTACTACCACCTCTTCCCCTACCGCACTGCCCCGCTCCCACCCCCGCCTCTCTTCCTCGCGCCAGGTGCTGCTGTCGTAGACCCCCTCCCCCCTCAGGGTGCCGCTCCCTCAGGTGTGTCTCAGGTAGACCCGGTTGAGCCTGTTGAGGTTGCTGTCGACTCTCGTCCTGCTAGGGGTGCTGAGCCTGGGGGTGCTGAGCCTGGGGGTGTGGAGCTTGGGGGTGTGGAGCCTGGGGGTGCTGAGCCTGGGGGTGTGGAGCCCGGGGGTGTGGAGCCTGGGGGTGTGGAGCCTCGTGGTGCAGAGCCGCAGAGTCCGGAGTCTGGGGGTTCTGGGTCTGGAGGTACTGGCCCTGTTAGTCCTACTCCTGGAGGAGCCCTCTCCTCGGACCAGCTGCGTATGTGGTACTTAGAGAACTGCAGCCTCCGGAGAGATTCCACTCGTACCGGACGTGCTGCTGGGACTGGTACTAGTGCTTCTTCTCCCGTTAGGGAGCTCCCCTCCCGCGAGCGGATCCGTGAGTGGTACGAGCGACGCTGCACTCTTCGGAGTGGCGTACCTCGTGTTGCGGACCCCACTGGCGCTGGAGCTGCTGTTGGTGCTGAGGACCCGGGCGTTGGAGCTGCCGCTGGTGCTGCGGACCAGGGACTTGGAGTTGTTGCTGGTGCTGCGGACCCGGGCGTTGGAGCTGCTGCTGGTACTGCAGACCCCGGCGTTGGAGCTGCTGCTGGTGCTGACAGCCTGGGCGTTGGAGCTGTTGCTGGTGCTGAGGACCCGGGCGTTGGAGCTGCCGCTGGTGCTGCGGACCCGGGCGTTGGAGCTGCTGCTGGTGCTGCAGACCCGGGCGTTGGAGCTGCTGCTGGTGCTGACAGCCTGGACGTTGGAGCTGTTGCTGGTGCTCAGGACCCGGGCGTTGGAGCTACTGCTGGTGTTGAGGACCTGGATGGTGGAGCTGCCGCTGCTGCTACGGACCCTGGGGCGACAGTTCGTGCTGACTCTGGTGTCACTGCTCGGTCCCGGCCGTACTTCGTTCCGCTCCTGCAGCAGGTTCTTGGTCAACTCCCTCCTCCTTGTCCTCCTCTCTCCTTAGCGTGTCCTCCGTCTGTCCAGCTGCAGTCGCAGCTACCGTGTGCCTCCTCTCTCCCTGATCCTGCTCCTTACACTGGTCCGACTGGAGGTCTTACTGAGCGTCGTGAGCCTGAGTCTCGCCCTGCGTCACCTGTCCGCACTGCTCTCTCTAGCAGTCGTGTCCAGCGTCAGAGTCTTCCTGTTGTCCCAGGCACTCACCGGATGGCGCTTCGTCCGTCCACTGCTCCACAGCGTGTCCCACTGCCGTCTCCTCCTACTTCTTCTCTTCTTGCTCTTGCTGACCCTGAGTCAGACTCTCTTCGTACTGCTAGTCCTACTGTCACGCGTCTCCTGGCTACTGTTGTCACTGACCCTTCCTTTGAGTTTGCTGCTGCGTCCGCCTTAGTTTTTGAGCTTGTCGACTTTGCTGCTCGCTGTCGTCTAGACTACGCTGCTAGCCTAGTTGCTGAGTCAGAGTCTGTCTGTCCTCCGTCCGTCGGGGGTGAGTGTGCTCTTGGCACGGACGTTCTTGAGGACAGGCAGGAGGAGTTTGGTTGCCTTGCCGCTGCTTTGCCCCATCTCGTGTCCATGCTTGTTGCCCCTGAGGGAGACCCGGATGCACCAGACATCCCGACCCCACGCTCTTACGCAGAGGCGATGGCCGGTCCCTACTCCTCTCAGTGGCAGTCAGCCATGGACACAGAGATGGCTTTCTGGAAGTCCACTGGCACCTACGTCAACGAGGTTCCCCCACCTGGGGCGAACATCGTCAGTGGCATGTGGATTTTCAGGGTGAAGCGGCCGCCGGGCTCTCCGCCTATGTTCAAGGCGCGTTACGTTGCACGAGGCTTCAGTCAGCGAGAGGGAGTTGACTTCTTCCAGACCTTCTCCCCGACCCCGAAGATGACCACTCTTCGGGTTCTGCTGCACGTCGCCGCTCAGCGTGACTACGAGCTCCACTCGCTTGACTTCAGCCCTTCTTTCCTGCAGGGCAGCCTGCACGAGGAGATATGGCTGCGCCGTCCACCTGGCTTCACTGGGTCGTTCCCTCTTGGTACCCAGTGGAGCCTCCGACGGCCAGTCTACGGTCTCCGCCAGGCGCCACGTGAGTGGCACGACACACTGAGGACTACGCTTGCGGCTCTTGGGTTCGCGCCTTCTACTGCTGACCCGTCGCTGTTTCTACGCACCGACACCTCACTGCCGCCGTTCTACGTCCTTGTGTACGTCGACGACTTGGTCTTTGCTACTGCTGACACTGTGGCACTCGCCCACGTGAAGTCGGAGCTGCAGAAGAGACACACGTGCACAGACCTGGGTGAACTGACAAGCTATCTTGGCTTGCGGATCACCCGGGACAGAGCACGCCGCACCATCACCTTGACTCAGTCACACATGGTGCAGCAGGTCTTTCAGCGCTTCCGCTTCACGTACTCCTCGCCTCAGCCCACTCCTCTGCCTACCGGTCACTCGCTCTCAGCTCTGCCTTCGGATGAGTCCGTAGAGCCGAGTGGCCCGTATCCAGAGCTTGTGGGTTGCCTCATGTACCTGATGACCTGCACTCGACCAGACCTTGCATACCCTCTCAGCATTCTTGCACGCTATGTCGCTCCCGGCCGTCACCGGAAGGAGCACATGGATGCAGCTAAGAGGGTGTTGCGCTACTTGTGCAGTACGTCGGGCATGGGGCTAGTGCTTGGAGGGCGAGTCCCAGTTGTTCTCACTGGGCAGTCAGACGCTTCTTCGGCAGACGACCAGGCTACTCAGCGGTCGTCTCAGGGTTACTCCTTCAGTCTTGGCTCTGGTTCTGTTTCTTGGCGTTCTACTCGCTCTTCCTCTGTTCTCAGCTCCAGTTGTGAGGCTGAGATCTACGCCATAGCCATGGCGGATCACGAGCTACGCTGGCTCACCTACTTGCTGACCGGCCTTGGAGAGCAGCCTCGTTCTCCTCCAGTGCTGTACGTCGACAACAAGGCAGCTATTGCCTTGTGTGAGGAGCACAGACTGGAGCACAGAACGAAGCACATTGCTCTGCGTTTCTTCCTTGCCCGAGAGCTGCAGCAGCGTGGTCACCTTCGCCTGCGTTACGTGGCCTCTGAGGCCAACACTGCTGATGTGTTCACCAAGGCGCTTCAGCCTTGTGACCATCAGCGCTTTTGCACTCTTCGAGGCCTTGTGCCTACTGGACCTCACTTGCTTACTTCTTGAGTCTGTTTGTACTGTGATCTCTATATATATACCCGCCTTTTTACTCTTGTTAGGTTGTGATCATTGTACCTTTTGCTCTATTATAAACCTGCATGTGAACTGGTCTTGTGACCACTTGCTTGTGCTCAGAATTTGTGTGGTATCCTTGAGATCCACCCTGAGCTTGTCTTGCCTTGCTTTGCATTGACTGGTCTTGTGACCCCTAGATCTCCCCCACTTTGCCTATGGGGGTGTGTCAAACATTATATATGTTGTGTTAGTTTAGGCTACAGTGGGTTAGCCTATAGGGGGTACACAATTCTAGGGTTAGGTTTTGACCTATTTGTACCCAACTGTCATTCTAGTCAATCATTCCTGTTTCGTACTTCTGACACTTTCTGCTGCCTTTGCATGCTGCCGTTATGACGACGCCTAATGTTCTCGCCTTCGAACCTGACGGTCGCCCCATAGATTTCGCTGTGTGGCTAGACGACCTGCAACTGTTCCTTCTGACCGATGCCAAAGATGGCGTTTCACTGTTCGATTACGTATCTGGCACTGCCGTTGCTCCTGCTGCCGATGCTCCTGCTCTCGAACGCTCGCAGTGGCAGACTCGTGATGCTGGTGCACTCCTAGCTATTAGGAACCATCTGCCGATCACTGAGCGTGCGCATTTCAGCCAGCACAAAACTGCTAAGAAGCTGTACAATTCTGTAGTTGCGCGCTACTCTTCCCCGGCCACTGCAGCCATAGGTCGACTCATGCTACCCTACCTGTTCCCTGACCTTTCCTCGTTCACCACTGCTGAGGACCTCATTTCCCACCTGCGCGCTACTGACACTCGCTTCTGTGCCGCCCTTTCAGCCGAGTTCTGCGCCGCTAACCCCCCCCCCCCCCGATGTACTTCATTCTCTATTTCTTCGTCACCCGCCTCCCTGACACTCTTAGCTCACTTAGGGACCACTTCCTCGTGCTAGACCCCCCCACTCTCACTGTCAACGACTTCGAGAAGCACCTCCTTGCAGCAGAGAAGAACATCCTCGCTGTAGGTGCTGCTCGTGGCACTCCTCGCTCTCCCCTCTTTGAGGGGTGCTCCCCCTCCCCTCTCACCCCCTCCTACACCTCCGCAGCTGCTGCTCACGACTACCTTTGTGCTGAGGAGGTCGGGGCTGCTTCCGCTCCTAGTGGGAAGCGTCGCAGCGGCAGGGGCGGCAAGGGTGGCAGGGCAGGTGGGGGCGGCGGTGGAGGTGGCGGTGGTGCAGGCGGCGGGGGCGGTGGAGGTGGTGGGGGTGGTCGTGGGGGTGGAGGTGGTGGAGGTGGTGGTGGGGGCGGCGGAGGCACTGGGGGCGGTGGAGGGGGCAGCAGCGGCGGTGGGGGAGGTGGGAGCGGTGGTGGCAATGGTGGTCAGGGCGAGCAGCAGCCGCAGTAGCAGCAGCAGCAACAGCAGCGTCAGCGCCAGACCCCCACTTCCCAGCAGCTTCTTTCCTTGCATGTTTTTTCCTATTTTTACCCTTGCTCAATATTGAATCATCATCATTGGCCAAACTTCCTTCGCTCCTACCCTCGTTACTCTCGCTCCGAACACCCTAGCGGAATTCGGTCGACGGACCCGAACTGCCAGTGTCATCGAGGGGGGTCGTCGAAGCCTGGGCTGACGGGGCGGAGCACTGACGCGCGTGCGGGCCCGCCAGCCTGGCCCAGGGCTGGGCCGAGCGCACGACCGCCGCCCCGCAGCCCCGCCCCGAACGTGAACAGCGGCCCACGTTACCGGGTGGGGTCGGCGAACTGGCGACAGCTCGCGCGTGGGAAAATTACCCTCGCGCGAAGGCAGCCCACGCGCGCCACCTGCCTGCGAGGTCCTAGTAACCCATCGCGGCCTGCCCGGACGGGCAGGCGAGGGCCGGGCGAAAAGTCGGGGCCCCCTCGGGACACTCGACAACTTCGCGACCCGTTGCGGCGACGCCACGTGTTCGCCCGCCTGCTTCGCATCCGGCAACATGCAGAATTTGATACATTGCGAATTCAATTCGGGACATCGCGAATTCGATGTCGATCGCTTCGCGGCGCACGTTTTTTGCTTTGGGGCGTGACATCGACTTGCTGGCTTGGCGGCGAATGAGGACTTGTGCCACTTGTGCACGACCACGCCAAACCCCGCCGAGGCAGGCACCACGAGGGCCGGGCGATGCCTCGACCGTTCCTGTGGGGCACCGGCCCCCTTTTCTTGGTGGAAGGGGGCATCGCTCCTCATTTTCGGCATCTCGTTTCCCTTTCCACCTTTTCCCCAGCTCTGCGCCTTCTCCCACATTTCACGTCCCTTAGCCGCTTCCCTTCCCCGCCATGTCGGCCGCCCCGAAACTCGGCGAAGTGACGCCGACTTCGCAGGACTTCCCTCTGTATCTCGACCTGGGCAGTGGACTCACTGCCAAGCTCGACGAACACGACTACGCCGTCCTCGTAGACCATAGGCTAGAGTTCAACGCCCGTTGCTTGGGATTCGGCCTCAAGTGAGTGCCCGTATTAGGATGTCGACGTCGACCGCTGGATACCTTGCAGGTCGACGTCGATAGGGTTGTCCCACGTCAGGGTTTAGATCACTACTCGGTGACGCACGCAGCCGTAGGTAGGCATCGTACTCCGATCACTACAGTAGGTCGGTGCCCGCATCGGTAGGCGCCATTGATTACAATGTAGCGACGGTGGTGCACCGTTCTACTCTAGCCATCCCCGTCCGTTGTCGGTTCCAGAACCCACGTGTCCATCCGTCGTGCCGTGCACGTCCTCAAACACATCTACTACCCATGCATGCGTGCAGGTACGCATGGATTCGCGCGGCGCCGCCCAACATGCGAATGTGGTCGATAGGACTCGGCCGGCTTCGGGCGGCGATGGGCAAGGAGGACCACTCATGCTTTGCAACGGTGTTCGACGCCGACGTAGCTGTTATCCCTCTGCATTCGAGGTGAGCCTAAGTCATGATGGTGTGCCATGATGCCTATGTCGCTGCTCCGTTCTGATCGACGTCGTGGTGCCTAGCCTGTGCAGCATCGCACCGCTTCCAGGGGCACATTGTAGCGTCGTGGTCATCCTGTACCCCGGCGACTTGTTGCGGGCCGGGGGAGAGACGATCAGGACCTCTGTCCGGCACTTCGACCCGCAAACCGTGAAGCAGTGGCACCGCGACGAGGCGATCCGCGTGCTGAAGTGAGCTCGATAGTGTAGTCGACGACGCATGCAATTTCGCCGCTGGGCGTTAAGCAAGTCTACTGACGACCTGTGCCATGTTGCTTCAGGTTTTTCCGGGCGGCGGTGCTGGCCGAGCTCGGCCGCGATGGCCGGCACTGGGAGTGGCCGAAGCCTTCTGCTGAAGAGGTGGCGGCCAGGCTCGCCGACTGCGATGAACCCGTTCGAGATGTGAGTACCGATCGTTTTACCGTCCTAGCGCGATGCCATCGCCGCCGTCGGTGCTCATCCTTGCTCTCTGCTCTGTTGTTTGCAGAAAATGCGCGACACCGTCCGGGACAGCGATGCCGGCTCTGGCCTCCTATCAATGAGCGCGCTGTGGTGGGTGGTGAAGAGGATGGATCGCCTGACCGGCGACGACCGTCGCAGTGCGACCAGCATGGACAAGGTCCTCGTTTCGGGGTTGAAGGAGCAGCGAATTCGGATGATGAAATACATCAAGGAACACGTCGCACGCAGACAGTCAAGCCATGTCGGAGTTGGTGCCGATGCATGTGACGACGACGCCGCGGAGCCCCCTTCGGCATCCCAAGCAGTCGGTGTCGCCGACACCAGCGGAGAGGCCGGAGACGGCGTCGACAAGGCAGATGAGGAGGCAGAAAGGGCTGTGGCGAGGACAGCGGATCAGGAAAAGGAGGAGGAGGAGGATGACACCGACGATCAGGATGATAACGAGGAGGATCGTGAGGAGCGTGAGCAGGGGCATGGGCAGGAGGAGGAGGAGGAGGAGGAGGAGGAGGAGGAGGAGGAGGAGGAGGAGGAGGAGGAGGAGGACGAGGACGAGGAGGACGAGGACGAGGACGAGGAGGAGGGGGATGAGGAGGAGGATGAGGCGGACAAGGAGGCGGCGGCGGCGGAGGCCGTGGAGCAAAGTTTCGGGTCGGTGGAGCAGGTGGCGGAGGGGGAGAAGCAGCAAGAGGGGGAGGAGGAGGTAGAGTTCCCCTGGGTCGAATTCGAGATGGAGGATGTTGAGGGAGCGGCGGCGGTGGCCGTGGAGGGAGCGGCGGCGGCCGTGGAGGGAACGGGTGGGATGTCGGCGGATGTTGTGTACGTGCGAGGGGAGGGTGCCGATGCGGAGAATGTCGGCGTGGAGGAGGCGCACGTGGTCGGCAATGTGGTTGGCGACACGAAGGAGGAGGATAACGTCGCGGCCCCGACGCCGACGGGCGTGGAGACCACCACAGGGAACGCAGGGGTGGAACGCCGGGGTGGAGCGGTAGAGGCGGGCCGTCAACCGGGTTCCTCAGCAGCTGGTCGGCAGGCAACGCCGGCCGTCGTCGCGCAGCTGCGACAGGAGAACATGTGGCTGAGGGCAGAAAATGCTCGACTCGAGACGGCGCTCGGAGTGGAGAGGGGTCGGGTGGACAGGTTCGCGATGGGGATTGGCCACCTCGTGGACAAGCTCAGGTCGTTGGCCGACCAGGTCGCCGCCTCCGACCAGGACGCGTCGAGTCGGCTGATGGACGCGTCCTTGACCATGGCGACGACCGTGACGGAGAACATCACCGCCAACATGGGTGAAGCATGGGAGGCGATGAAGGCGTACGCCGAGAGGGCGGAGAGCTGGTTGGACGATCTAGAGAATCCGGAGGGGTTTATGGCGGTGCAACGTGCGAACGCGGTCGTCGCCCTGGGCAACCACGTGGACGAAGCGAGGAAGGGATTGGAGGAATACATATCGAAGCACCTAGTCGCCGCGCAGACCAACATCGCCGCCGCGGTAACTCAACGCGTCGCCGTCCCGCCGCCCACGCAGCCCGCCCCACCGCCAGCCGTCCCGGACGAGCTCATGAAGTCTTTCAAGGCGGACGTGTTGAAGGCGGTGACTGAGGCCACCCAGCAGTCGTTTTCTGCGTCCGGGTTAAACCTCATGACCCAGGTGATCGGCCATCTGGCGCCTGGTCGGCATGGGTCGTCGCCGTCGGACAACGAGGCCGACAAGAAGGGTGCGAAAAGGGCGGGCGGCAGAGATGATGCGTTGAGCTCGAAGCGGAGCAAGGGAGCCGATGGGAGCCGCGGCGTCGGCCAGGCGGGTCCAGGCGGCTCGCGGGGCAAGGGAGCCGATGGGAGCGGAGGTACGAGCGTGGTCGACCAGCTGAAGAAGAACGGGGCCAAGGTGATAAGGACGCACAGCAAGGGCGATGGAATCAGGAGTGCGGAGGGGGGCCCTGCCGACCAGGTTGCCGCTCAAGAGGCTGGACCAACAGCCCCGCCATTGGTCGCTGAGAAGCCGGCCAGTCTAGCGACCGCACCAACGGCGATAGATGGCGGCGCCAAAACCGTCAAGGGACCGTCCGTCGGAGTGGCGGGGACCACGTCGATCCCCCGCAAACCCCCTGCAGCTAGCAGCGCGCCGGTCGCCCCGTCAGCCGCCAACAACGATGGGCCGTCCCTTGCGGCTACTCCAGCACAAGCAGGCACGTCTGCCGCCAAGGTTGACGCGGTGGATGCTGCGGCTAACCGCGCTGGTCCGTCCGCCCCAAAGGCGAACGCGCTCAGGGAGATGCTCGGCCGCATGGAGACCCATCGACAGGACGTGCAGCAGCCTCCCGTGGTCGGTACCGCGCCGGCCACAACAGCACGTTGCTCGGTCACTCCCCAGGTCGCCGCCACAACGTCCAGTGCCCCACCTAGCGCGCCTATCATCGCCGCCCGTCCTCCTGTGGACCCAAAGTCCGCGTTGCTTCGCGCCCGGTTAGGCGCACGTACTGCGGCTGCGCCAGCACGGGCTCACCCGGTATCCAGCTCATGCGCGTCGCCGACGTCGGTGACCGTAGCTGCACACACACTCGGTGCGGCTACTATCGAGGCGGTGGCGGAGAAGGGCGTGAGTGCAGCGCTAGCCACGGGCGGCAGATCAGTTGACCCTGCACAGGCGGCGAAGGACCACAACGACGCCGATATCGCTGCCATCCAGGACCTGTTGGAAGCGGTAAACCGCCCCAAGCAGCCCTCTGTGCTGGCCATCTTGGACTCGGCGAGTCCCACCGGCTGTACAGCGGAGCCAAAGACGACCACTGCTGCGGTCGGAGTGGGAAAGTCGAAACGGAAGGGGACGGTCGACGCAGGGAAAGCGAGGCCGAGCTCGAAGAAGAAAACACGGGCGACATCGGCGATGGTGAAGTCGGTGCAGAAAGGACAGGGGATGTCGACGGCGATGTTGGAGAAGGAGAAGGACGAGGAGATGGAGAAGAAGGAGGAGGAGGAGAAGGAGAAGGAGAAGGAGAAGAAGGAGGAGAAGGAGAAGGAGAAGGAGGAGAAGGAGAAGGAGGAGAAGGAGAAGGAGAAGAAGGAGGAGGAGGAGAAGGAGAAGGAGGAGAAGGAGAAGGAGAAGGAGGAGGAGGAGGAGAAGGTGGAGGAGGCGGAGGTGGGGGAGGAGGAGAAGGAGAAGGAGGAGGAGGAGGAGAAGGAGGAGGAGGAGGAGGAGAAGAAGCTGGAGGAGGAGGAGGCGGCGATGGAGGAGGAGAAGGTGAAGGTGAAAGTGAAAGAACGGAAGGGTCATGGCATCCGCCACGACACCACGGGCGACAAGCAAGGGTGGGTGGGCGAGATTAAGGTGGTCGGGAACGAGAGCAGATACATCGGCAAGTCCCGCGACAAGATGGAGCTGGCGTACCTTCACTCGATTGTGTACCTCCTGTACGACGGTTACGTCAGCAAGATCCTCATGGTCGGGCTCACCGGCTTGGAGGAAACAGTGATGAAGCAGTGGAGGGCGGTGTGGAAGGAAGTCCGGTTCTTGCCGACTGGGATGTGGACGGTGATATGGGCACGGGGCGCGTTCCTCCCCAAGACACGGTAAGTCGGATAAACGTCGGCCAAGCTATGATGTCGACGTTGGCGTTCCTAACGGCCAGTTTCGTGTGATTGCGTGACAGGTTCGATGATATCCTCGGGAAGTATCGAGCGTACAAGACATCAGGCGATGCGCACCACGATGCGCTTTTGCCCGCGATCTGGTTCCCCGTCGATGCCGACAAGTCGGATGCAATGATGTCGGCCATGATTGATCGCGTGTCCATGTGCGCGGCGTATGGGATGGTCGCTGCATCCGCGGCGAGAATGGAGGGCGACACGGATCAGAAGACGGCGAAGGTCGCACAGGCGCTGTCGGCCTCCGCTTGCGCCCTGTGGTGCTTAGTCGATGGCGACGGCGCCCAGGTGGCTGATGCCGTCCGCGAAGGGAAGGCGGCGGCGATGTTGGTCGGCGCCAGCGAGACTACCGCCGCCGAGTTCAAGAAGGTCATGACGGCGGTGCTGGAGGCCGCGATCAGCAGGCAGCAACCCCTTGGGGAGGTTGCGCACAACGTCGCACCGGCGCTGGAGTCCACCGCTCTGGCCAAAGCCTATCCAGGGTTGGATGTTGAAGCCGAGGCCAAACTGATCGCACGAGCGACGGTGGAAACCCTCGCGTTCTGGGGAATGTGCCCCGTGGATGGGCCGAAACTCAGGAAGATCGGCATCGCGGTGCCGCTTGACGCGCAGATGGAGTACGACATCGAACACGGGGGGAGGAAGAGGCCGAGGGGCAAGCAGGGCAAGGACAGCTCGGGGAAGAAGGGGAAGAAGGGCAGAGCGGGCAAGGACAGCACGGCGGCGTAGTCGGCATAACAATCTGCCATGGGCGGCAGGAGGGAGCGCAAGTAGGTCTTCTTGCTAGGATGGCCTGGTATGGGCGGCGTCGATTATGTGGTTTTTTTGGGATTTTTTTTTCGTTTGATTGTATAGTTTTCGTTGGGATTTCTTTTGTTGGCTGTAACTTTTTGGTAGTGCATGTTACTAGAACACTCCTCGGCAAGGTCGACCTGATCTCTACCATATTACTCAAATGTGGGCCCAGTTCGATGAACCCCGTCGGGGTATAGCAACTCGGCGTCGTACGGTGTCGACATAGTGCGTCTGGCTGTATGCATGTAGATACTCGGCGATGAGCCTCGTCGGCTAGGCCGAGATGGTCAATGGTCGGCGCTTTGGGGAATGTGCCGCGCCGCCCAGGTGGCCGAAACTCTAGGAGGTCGGCATCGATGTGCCGTTTGACGCGCATATCGAGTGGGCATGGACAGCACGGATGCGTAGTCGGCGCGCGGAGGGAGCGCTAGGTGGTATGATTGCTCGGTTATAGCGTGATCGGCGCCGTTTGCGCCGTTTGCATGCAGTCAAGGCACAATGAATTGCACACACATGGTGGTGACTATGTCGGAGTCCGACATATCTGGTTCGGATGTATGTGTTGGATCATGTATGTTCGTGTTGCATCAAACTCAACAAGTACGATGGTAACACAACGGTTTGCTAAACTAGGGCATCATCAACCTACGCTAACACATATACACCGAGGATCTTCATGCCGACTTCTTGCGCTTTGACGGAGGACGCTGCGCAGGTGCAGTCTGCTTGGCCAATTTGGCCACGGTCTTCGGCATCTGCTCCTCCCAGGTGTCTGGAAACAGGCGGTCGATCCACGTCGTCGGCTTCAGCTCGAGCGCCACCAGCGCACAGGCGAGGCGTAGCTTCGAGACCACCTTAGGGCCAAGCCCCTTGACGCCCATGCCAGGCTCCTTGGACATCGTCGGTGCCGTCTCCGGGTTGAGCACCGTGAGGGCATCGCAGAAGGTCCCAATGCCCGGTGACGCGATCGTGTTCAGTGCATCGACCACGGCTTCGGTGTCGGCATCGCCGTCGCTCGCGCGTAGCTGGCGCACCGCATCCATGGCCTTCAGCATGCGGCGCACCCTCATGTTGAGTGCACCCTGGGTCGCGCCTTTGAGGAGGGTGTGGCGGTCGATGAACCCCGGCTCGGCGACCCTGTCGCAAAGACGACGGGTGTCATTGGCGGTGGCGGAGTTCCAGAGGCGCCAAGCGTCCCGCACGGTCTTTGAATCCCGCCAAGGTTGCACCACGTTGAGCTCGTAACTGGCCTCCTCTGCCGTCTGGGGGGGTGGCGGGGGTTTCCCATCATCTCTCTTGGCTCCGGTCCCCGTGTTGGCCGAATCCGCGGAGCCACCCTCGCCCGGAGTTTGATCGGTAGCCGACGGCGGCGCCGCCGGCATCCTCCGGGCTTCTGACACACGGAGTGCCTCGGTGAGTCGAGCAAGCTCGGAGGTGAGCGACGCAATGGTGTTGTTTTGCTTCTCGATCGTCTCCTGAAGGCCTAGCTTCTCGAGCGCCGAGCGCTCGACCTCCTTCTTCAGCGCCTCCTTGAGGGACATGTTGTGATACTGGGTGTCCATGCGCACGGATATTTCCTGCAATGTTGGGTGTGCGGAATGTGGAAACAAAGAACGAGAATGAAATGACTATGAACGAAGTGAGTACAAATAGGAAACCCTAATTGGGTTGTACCCCCTATGGGATACCCCACTATAGCCTACAGAAACAAGTAAGCTATAAGTTCTGACACACCCCCATAGGCAAAGTGGGGGAGAACAAGGGGTCACAAGACCAGTCAAGCAAAGCAAAGCAAAGCTCAGGGTGGATCACAAAGTCACCACGCATTCCGAGCACAAGTTCAAAGGCCACAAGGCCAGTTCACATGCAAGATCATATATAGAGATATACAAAAAACAAGAGTATATATATGCGAAAGTACAAGCAAGGTCAAGAGGAGAGCAAGTGAGGCAAGACAGGCACAAGACCCAACTGCGTGCAGCAACGCTGATGATCACAAGGCGCAAGTGCCTTGGTGAAGACATCAGCAGTGTTGGCCTCAGAGGCCACGTACGCAAGTCGCAGCTGTCCACGCTGCTGTAGCTCACGAGCAAGAAAGTAACGAAGAGCAATGTGCTTCGTTCTGTGCTCCAGTCGCTGCTCTCGACACAAGGCCAGCATGGCCTTGTTGTCTACGTACAGGACTGGAGGAGAACGAGGCTGCTCTCCAAGGTCGGTCAGCAGGTAGGTGAGCCAGCGTAACTCCTGTGCAGCCATAGCCCCAGCGTAGATCTCAGCCTCACAGCTGGAGCCGAGAACAGAAGACGAGCGGGTAGCCCGCCACGAGACAGCGCCGGAACCAAGGCTGAAGGTGTAACCCTGTGACGACCGCTGCGTAGCCTGGTCGTCAGCCCAAGAAGCGTCTGCGTGCCCAGTGAGGACCACTGGACTGCGCCCTCCAAGCACTAGCCCCATGCCCGACGTACTGCACAAGTAGCGCAACACCCTCTTCGCTGCAGCCATGTGCTCTGGTCGGTGTCTCCCAGGAGCAACATAGCGTGCGAGAATGCTAAGAGGGTATGCGAGGTCAGGTCGTGTGCAGGTCATCAGGTACATGAGGCAGCCAACAAGCTCTGCAAACGGGCCACTCGACTCTACGGACTCATCCGAAGGCAGAGCTGAGAGCGAGTGGCGAGTAGGCAGAGGAGTGGCCTGAGGCGAGGAGTACGTGAAGCCGAAGCGCTGAAGGACCTGCTGCACCATGTGTGACTGAGTCAGGGTAATGGTGCGGCGTGCTCTGTCCCGGGTGATCTGCAAGCCAAGGTAGCTGCGCAGTTCACCCAGGTCAGTGCACGTGTGTCTCTTCTGCAGCTCGGACTTCACGTAGGCGAGTCCAGCAGTGTCAGCTGTGGCAAAGACCAAGTCGTCGACGTACACGAGGATGTAGAACGGCGGCAGAGAGGTGTCGGTGCGCAGAAACAGCGACGGGTCGGCAGTGGAAGGAGCAAACCCAAGTGCCGCCAGCGTAGTCCTCAGTGTGTCGTGCCACTCACGTGGCGCCTGGCGGAGACCGTAGACTGGACGCCGGAGACTCCACTGGGTACCAGGAGGGAAAGACCCAGTGAAGCCAGGTGGGCGACGCAGCCAGATCTCCTCGTGCAGGTTTCCCTGCAAGAAAGCTGTGCTGAAGTCGAGAGAGTGCAGCTCGTAGTCACGGTGAGCAGCAACGTGTAGCAGAACCCGAAGAGTGGTCATCTTCGGGGTGGGGGAGAAGGTCTGAAAGTAGTCAACCCCCTGCCGCTGACTGAAGCCACGAGCCACGTAACGCGCCTTGAAGACAGGCGGAGAACCCGGCGGCCGCTTCACCCTGAAAATCCACATGCCACTGACGATGTTCGCCCCAGGAGGGGGAACAGCGTCAACGTAGGTGCCTGTGGACTTCCAGGAAGCCATCTCTGCATCCATAGCTGCCTGCCACTGAGAGGAGTAGGGACCCTCTATCGCCTCCGCGTAAGAGCGCGGAGTCGGGATGTCTGGTGCATCCGGGTCTCCCTCAGGGGCTAGCAGTACAGACGCGAGACGAGGTGAAGCGGCGGCCAGACACTGGAACTCCTCCTGCCTGTCCTCAAGGACGTCCGTGCCAAGGGCACACTCACCCCCGACGGACGGAGGACAGGCGGACTCAGACTCAGTGACAAGACGAGCAGCGTAGTCTAGACGACAGCGCGCAGCAAAGTCGACAAGCTCAGTGACAAGGGCAGACGCAGCAGACGACTCGAAGGAGGGGTCAGTGACAGCAGTAGCCAGGAGACGCGTGACAGTAGGACTGGCAGCACGAAGGGCGTCCGACTCCGGGTCGGCAAGAGCAGGAAGAGAGGAAGCAGGAGGAGAAGGCAAAGGGGCACGCAGAGGAGCAGTGGACGGGCGCAGGGACATCCGGTGCGTGCCAGGGACAGGAGGAGGACGCTGACGCGACCCGCGACCACTAGCGCGCTCAGTACGAACAGGAGACACAGGACGAGACGCAGGCTCACGACGCTCAGTAAGACCTCCAGTCGGACCAGCGTAGGGAGAAGGAGCAGGCAAAGGGGAGGCAGGCTGTAGCTGTGGCTGTGACCGGACAGGCTGCGGACCCTCTAAGGGAGGAGGAGGAGGTGTAAGACCAAGAACCTGCTGCAGGAGCGGAACGAAGTACGGTCGGGGCCGCGCGGCGACGCTAGAAACAGCAGGAACAGCACCAGCAGCCCCGGCAGGAGCACCCACTCCAGTAGCACCTCCAGCAGCACCACCAGAAGCTCCAGAACCTCCAGCCGCAGCACCAGGAGCACTGTCAGTCGGGCCGCCAACGGCAGGCTCAGCACCAACACCCTCAGCAGGACCAGCTCCAGGAGAACTCTCAGACTCAGCAGCTCCAGCACCCACAGTACGAGCGCCGGCGGGGCGCGCAGCAGCAGTACCCTCTGCAGCCGAAGAACCACCAGCACCAGCAGCACGCCTCCAGCGCCCGGCAAACCACTCACGCAGCTCCTGTGGGGAGAGTGGCTCCCGGCGAGACGAAGCACCCCCAGGCACAGCACCTCCAGGCTCAGCACCCCTAGACACAGCACCCCCAGGCACGTCACCCCCAGGCTCAGCACCCCCAGGCTCAGCAACCCCAGGCTCAGCACCCCCAGGCTCAGCACCCCCAGGCACAGCACCCCCAGACTCGGCACCTCCAGGCACAGCACCCCCAGGCTCAGCACCCCCAGGCTCAGCACCCCCAGACTCGGCACCTCCAGGCTCAGCACCCCCAGACTCCGCACCCCCAGGCTCAGCTCCCGCAGCAGCACCAGAGTCACCAGTGACCTCGACAGGCTCGACTGCGTCTACCTGGGACACACCTGAAGGGGCAGGACCCTGAGGGGGGAGGGGGACTACCGGGGGGGGACCTGGTACCAAGAAGAGCGGGGGTGGGGGGAGGGACGGAGTGCGGTAGGGGAAGAGGCGGTAGTAGGGTACCGACTCGTCGAACGTGACGTCCTGGGAGGACAGAACACGTCGAGAGGTGGGGTGGTAAAACTGCCACCCAGGGGCGTCGGGGGGGAACCCCAGGAAGACGCAGGGAGAAGCACGAGGGGATAGCTTGTCCGCAGACAGGTCGCGAACAAACGCTCGAGATCCCCAGACCCGGAACGCCGACGCATCGCCAACCTTCCCCGTCCACAGCAGGGCTGGGGAGGTCTCCGGTCGAGAGACCCTGGGGTGGAGGTTGATCTGGTGCGCAGCGTACCTGACCGCAAACGGCCACAGAAAATGGGGAGCAGCCGCATGCATCATGGACGTACGAGCGACGTCCATGACCATGCCAATGCGGCGCTCAGCAATCCCATTCTGCTGCGGTGAGTCCGGAAGCGTGAAGGTCTGACGGATGCCTCGCGCACGACAGTAGGCACTCAGGAGGCCAGAGGAGAACTCTCCGCCTCTGTCCGAGTGCAGACGCAAAACAGGGAAGTCAGAGCCAAAGCTCCTCCGAAGCTGGAGACGAGCTGCGCGGATCCAGTCGATCAACACCGCAGTGACCTCACCCTTGCTGCGCAAGGGGAAGACTGTGGTGTAACGCGAGTAGTCGTCAACCACCAGCAGGAAGTAGCGCTCCTGACCCTGTCCACGGACGCGGGCTGGGCCCCACACGTCCATGTGAAGCGTCTGCAACGGGGCCTCTGTCGGAGGAAACTGGGAGGAGTGAGGGGCAGCACGCTGGCGCCCCTCGACACAGGGGACACAGGTGGGGCCAGGGCCCGGAGGAAGGGGAGGGAGAGACCGGGGAAGACCAGACACAAGGACTCGCGAGGCCATGCCTCTGAGCCGAAGCAGAGAGGGGTGGCCAAGGCGGTGGTGCTAGAGGAGGGTCTCGTGAGACAAACGACGGCACGAGCAGGGGGCAGACTCAGGACCAGACCTGGACGCTGCAGCAAACACCTGACCAGACGAAGTGACCCTACCAGACTCAGCACCTGGAGGAGAAGCAGTGGTCAGAGTGTACAGGCTCGACCCTGGCCGACGTGTAAACGTAGCCAGGTGGCGACCTGTATCCGCCTCCGTGCAGTGGGTCACCCGCTGACGAGCAGGGGTGAACTGGTGGACACCCGCATCCTGGAGGTCAGCACCACTCACCAAGTTCGTCGAGAACGAGGGGAGGTAGAGACCAGTCAGGGTGCCAGAGGGGGCCGCCGGACACGGGAGGACAGTGGAGAAGCGAGACAGGACAGGCCCCCCAGAGGGGTCAGCCAGGGACACCGCAACCGGCCGACTCAGCGGCGTGAGAGTGGTGCGGTCCCGAAAGAAGGAGCGAGACGCTCCAGAGTCAAGGGTGAAGGTGTGAGAGGCCGAAGCCGACACAGTACCTGAGAGGGCAGACTCACCAGCACCTGAGAGCACAGACGCACTGGCACCTAGAGCAGCAGCCTCACTAGTACCTGACGCGGCAGTACCAATGCCCGGGTCGGGCGGGAAACACCGGTAACAGTCATCCTCATCACTACCAATCGCAGCATACATAGCAGAGAGAATAGCATCAAAATCAAGATCATAAATAGCTACACCAGCCCTAGACAGCTCTCCCCAGCGGGGGATCTCAGCTGCCTCCGGAAACTGCTGACGCCAGGCGTCAGTCAGGCGGCCAAAGCAGCGGCGGGCAGTGTGGGCGCCTCCACACCTCTCCCCTGCACGGTCACCGGTGCGGAGAACGTAGGGGCACGGACCAAGCGCACCACCACGCTGACGCTGCGAGTACCACTCACGGAGCTGCTGAGGGGCGGGGACGGTGCGAGAGCGCTGCTGCTGCTGTGGCTGCTGCTGCGGCTGCTGCTGCTGTTGCTGCTGGCGCTGACCACCCCCGGAGCTGCTCCGCTGGGACGAGCCACTCCGACCCCCGCCTCCACTGCCACCCCCGCCTCCACCGCCACCCCCGTCTCCACCTCCACCTCCCCCACCAGGACCGTCGCTCCCACCGCTCCCACCGCCTCCTCCGCTACCACCTCCGCCGCCACCTCCGCCTCCACCGCCGCCACCAGTACCTCCACTTCCGCCACCACCCCCACCGCCACCCCCACTCCCCCCGCCACCCCCACCGCCTCCTCCACCGCCCCCTCTAGCTCCACCCGCTTCCTTGCCCCCCTTGCCCTTGCCAGCGCGGCGTCTGCCGCTGGGGGCAGACGCCGCGCCGACCGACTCAAAACCAGTGAGGTCGGCCGCAGCGGCAGAGGCGACAGAGGGCAGCAGGGGGGAAGGACCACACCCCTCAAAGATAGGGGTGCGAGGGTCACCCCGAGAGGCCCCTACAGCGACAATACTCTTCTCAGCCGCTAGCAGGGACTCCTCAAGGAGGTCGACAGTGAGAGTGGTGGGACAGACAGAGAGAAACTGGTCCCTAACGACACGAAGGGTCTCAGGGAGACGGGTGACGAGAAAGTAGAGAGTGATGTACATGGGAGGAGGGTTCGCAGCGCGGAACTCAGCAGGAAGGGCAGCGCGGTAGCGGGTGTCACTAGCACGGAGGTGGGTAACGAGGTCAGCGACAGTGGGAAAGGAAGCGAGGTCAGGGAAGAGAAACGGTAGCATGAGGCGGCTAAGGGTAGCGGAGGAAGGGGAGGAGTAGCGTGCAACTACAGCGTCGTACAAGGCCTGAGCGGTCTTGCACTGACTAAAGTGGGCACGCTCAGAGGAAGGGAGGTGGCGACGCACAGCAAGACGTGCAGCAGCATCGCGGGTCGCCCACTTGGAGCGAACGGCAGAGTCAGCATCAGCAGGTGGGGCAGGGACAGCGCCAGAGACAAAGTCAAAGAGAGAGACCTCATCTATCGCATCACACAGTAAGTACAGCTGCAGGTCTTCAATCCAGACGGCAAAGTCAATGGCCCTCCCCTTAGAGTCAAAGGTAAGAACATTGGGGGTGGCCATGACAGCAGCTGAAAATCTCACCGGGCTGGGAGAGGCGGGTAGGTCAGCAGCAGAGGAACAGCAGCACGGCTCCGCAGGCGGCTCGGGCGGCGCGGGCGGCTCGGCGGCGGTTCGGGCGGCGGCTCGGCGGCGGATCGGCGGCGGCTCGGCGGCGGCTCGGCTGCTGCTGGGCGGCGCGGGCGGCTCGGGCGTCACGGGCGGCTCGGCGGCGGCTCTGGCGGCTCGGCGGCGGCTCGGGCGGCGGCTCGGCGGCGGCTCGGCGACGGCTCGGCGGCGGCTCGGCGGCGGCTCAGGCGGCGGCGGCTGCTGCTGGGCGGATCGGCGGGGCCGCGTAGCAGAGTGGCGGCGGGGCCGCGACCGAAGAGGGCGGCGGGGCCGCGTAGCAGAGGGCGGCGGGGCCGCGTAGCAGAGGGCGGCGGGGCCGCGTAGCAGAGGGCGGCGGGGCCGCGTAGCAGAGGGCGGCGGGGCCGCGTAGCAGAGGGCGGCGGGGCCGCGACCGAAGAGAGCGGCGGGGCCGCGTAGCAGGGGGCGGCGGGGCCGCGTAGCAGAGGGCGGCGAGGCCGCGTAGCAGAGGGCGGCGGGGCCGCGATCGAAGGGCGGCGGGGCCGCGTAGCAGAGGGCGGCGGGGCCGCGTAGGAGAGGGCGGCGGGGCCGCGTGGCAAAGGGCGGCGGGGCCGCGATCGAAGGGCGGCGGGGCCGCGTAGCAGAGGGCGGCGGGGCCGCGTAGCAGAGGGCGGTGGGGCCGCGTAGCAGAGGGCGGCGGGGCCGCGAGGCAGAGGGCGGCGGGGCCGCGTAGCCGAGGGCTGCGGGGCCGCGATCGAAGGGCGGCGGCGGGGCCGCGTAGCAGAGGGCGGCGGGGCCGCGATCGAAGGGCGGCGGGGCCGCTAGGGAAGGGCGGCGGAGCCGCGAGGGGAAGGGCGGCGCAACGGTCCGCTAGGGGCGACACGACGGGTCGCTAAAAAAAACGCGCCTCGGGGCGCGGTTCGGTGGGCCCTAGAAGCAGTCCCTAGGAGGGAACCTGCTCTGATTCCATGTGGAAACAAAGAACGAGAATGAAATGACTATGAACGAAGTGAGTACAAATAGGAAACCCTAATTGGGTTGTACCCCCTATGGGATACCCCACTATAGCCTACAGAAACAAGTAAGCTATAAGTTCTGACACGGAAAGGCGACAAGAGGTTAGAATTCACCGGCTAAAATTCAACGACGCCGACATGGTCGGCAACTCACCTCCGGTTGTATCTGAGTCGGGTCCCGGCGCTTTTTGATCGTATCGGTGTCGACCGACTCGACCCTTTTCGCCCAGTGCTGGAAGAGGGCTATCCTGCAGAGCTTCGAACCTTGGACGTACAGGTGCCACGGTGTGCGGACGAGCTTCACCGCGAGGTCCTCGGCGACGATTCGTCGGAACATCACGAGGGTGCGCAAGAAGTGCACTGCGGCTGCAGCGGCGTCGCTCCCGTTGACGGCACGCGTCTCCGCCTGCAAGTCGGAAAGTGGCGTGGGTTAGTAGGGAGTTGGGCAGCCAACTAGGCCACGACGACTGAAAAACATTGTCGGCGTCGCGTGACATACATCGCGCAGCATAGCATCCACGCCGGGGAAGATGTGCTCGGCGAGCAGGTCCAGGAGTTTGTCGGAGGGCTCGACCCTGCTGCGCCCCAAGAAGTAGTCTTGCTTGAGTCCCGAGTAGCCGGCCTTCTGCATCACCACCCCAACGGGAATGGCCGTGATGTACGCACGCGTCATCTTGTCGAGAGCCCAGTGTCCCAGCTCGGCGATCTGGGCGCGCGGCGTCCCTCCGATGGCTAACTCCTGCGCACCTCCGGCGCGGGCGGCGTGCACGTTCCTCTTGCAGAACACCTTGTTGGTCGTCCACACTTGCCGAGTCCAACGTTGGTGGGTGGCGGCGGAGAGCTCCTCCTGCTCCTTGTCGTTTCTGGCGAAGAAGAGATGCTTCTTGTACCAGCGTTCGCGTTCTGTGGTGTCAAGCGGCGAAAGAAAGTCGGTGCCGGAGAACTGACCGATCTGGTCGAGGATGAAGTGCAGCCACAGGCCGGTCTCGCCGACGGCGCACAGCTCCGCTTCCAGGTGTTGCGCAGCGTAGCTCTGCTGAAGACGGGCATCCTTGGAAGTCTTCGAGTTACGCGCGGCGATCACCATGACGACCGGCTGGCTATCCGGGTTCACCTCCGAGGTGCTCGCCAGGTGGTACAAGAAGATGTCGGGGAGCGTGATCTCGCGGATGCTGGCGCCGCGCAGGAGAGTGTGGTGGGAGAGTAGCGTGAGCACCTTGATGAGCAGGAATCGCCACAGCATCTGCGACGGAGTGGTAGCCCGCGGGTTCCACGCCGCCGCCGCCCATGTCGGCAGCACCCTCATCATGATCTGGCGGAACTGCTCGGCGGTGTAGGTATCGCCGATGGTGCCGCGTCGACGGTCGGCGCAGTTCCTGAACGCAAATCGGCGGGGAAAATCTGTTAGACTGCGTCGACTTCACAGTGCACAGTGACATATAATAAGGTTGTCGACCAACTTACTTGAGGTCCCTCTCGTTCTTGTGGCGGACGTTGAACCGCACCTCCGATCTCACCACCGAGATCTCCCTCATGATGCCCAGCTCCTTCTCTCGGTACAGCGTCGCCTCCACCCTCGCCGCCATCTGGCATGCCTTTATGCGCCCGAGGATCGTGTGCACAGTTGTCGACCTCACAGGCCCCGTTCGCATGGCATTGTTCTCCTCCCCGGGCTGGTCAACAATGAGGTTACACTCACGGCTCATTTGCTTCACGTAGGCGCGCAGCCGGGTTTCGGTGACCCTAGGGCCGTGCAGCCAGATGTACTGTCGGTGGATCACTTTCTCGTTGCACCAATCCTTTTTCTTGTTGTCGCGGATGTAGTGGCCGATCTCGTCGACGTGCCTAAGTCGTTGCTCATGGGGTAGCTTGTCGCGTATCTGCGTCAGCATCTTCGCCGCCCACTTCTTGTAGTGGTAGATGAACGCGGTGTACAGCCTGAGCGTGCTATTCTTCTCCAAGCATTGTAGGTGTCGTAGGGCGTCCATTATGAGGACGTCAATGCTGGAGTACACCATGTCGTCCACTACAAAGTCCGTCGCCTTCCACCCTTCGCGCGGCACCGCCATGTGCTGATTGTCCTCCTCCTCGTCCGCTTCGAGCATGTCACGAATGTATTCAAATTCCCGCCTAAGGCGTTCTTCCAAGGTGCGCGGATTCGTGCTACGCGGAGGACGGTCGTCGACTTCGTCGTTGCTCTCTTCCTCGTCCTCGTCGTCGCCATCACCTTGGTTTTCGAGCCGACCGGCACCGACGAAGGTCCAGTCTGCCCATCTGCCGTTGGTGTCGACTTCTTCGTAAACTCCCCAATTGGCGGATTCGGTATGTCCTTGGTGTACTCCCCTTCGGGAATCTGAGTAAGTTTGTCAAGATCGTAAAGCAACTTCAGCGTCTCTACGGGGGCAGAGGACGGACTGTGGTCGGTTGGGGTACCAACGTCGGGCATGTCGACGTCGTCCATGACCGCTCGTATGCTCTACCGCCGGCCGTGGAAGAGGGAAAGATTGGTCAACCAGAGATGGTACTGATTCACGGGTGCGGTGTACGCCCTAATCGTCCTGCGGCGGCCTTCCTCGAATTCCCTCCCAAGTGCTTCTAACTCAGCGTCGACCTCGAGTCGTTCCAGTTGCGCTTTGATGTCGTCGTCTACCGAATCGGCGGGGGGTGGGATAAGTTGTTGTGGCTGTTGGGCACTAGCCCTTCCTCTGGCCATGCGTCGCCGACTCGGTAAGGTTGGGAGATGCTATCGTCGCCCTGATCTATCGTCGCCGACTTTCCTACATGACGACCTAGAACCTAGTAAGGCGAAGTCGACGATGGTCGACCCCAACACCGACCTATGGCAGTCTATTCCAGGTCGTCGCCTTTGTGCCGCCGCTCGGTCGACTCGGCCGTCGAGTAACCTACACCCGCAGAGATAGCGAGGGTCCTGTGAAGAAAACGAAGTGCTAGATGGCGCACAGGAGCATGAGAGAAACATGAAGCTGAACCGGCAGAATGAGAGCGTTGTGCGTGGTCAAGGAGGGGTAAGGTTGCGAGCCACTGCGCACCTGCCGCGCTCCACGCAGCCCTCTTTGCAAGCGCCGCTGTGCACGTGCATGACGTGTCACGATCGATGCATGTCTAGTGTCACGCCGCTCTGCGCTCAACGGCACTCCCGCCGGTGCCTTGCCACGATGGAATTCACGTGCGCCACGTGCAATAGGCCAATCACCTAGTTCCACTCTCCTGAAATGCCGTAGCGTCCAGCTCTCCCGCGCAAACCTCATCGACCTGCGAGTAGGCGCGTGGCCGGAGGCTTGGTCGACGCCGACATTTCCCTGAGTCTGGGGCTCTCTTCGCCTATGCATTGTTTGGTCCGCACAGAACCATCCGCGTGGGTCGTGCTGCTGCGGTTGGATCTTCGGGCGACACCGACATCTCAATACCCCGCGTTCTCTGGCTATCTAGGTGGTGGACACATGCTAGTCGTCTATCGCCGCGTGGACGATGGTTACATTTTTCGTCGGCGCGCCAAGTTTCGCGCGCAGCGAAATATACCCGGTGGTGCGAAGCGGGGCCACGTCGGCGCCGTCGTGGCACCTCCCGATTGTCAGGCTCGATCTCGGCCGTCCCTACTAAGCCACGTGGCAGTAATCGCGGCTCGGCGCACAACGTGTCGAGCTGTGGTTCAGGGTCCGCTGAGGTATCCTTCTCGGGTTTCTCTCAGCGAAACCCGAGGTCGTCAAATAGTCGACAATCCCGAGGGGTTCAGAGCCCTAGAGGACTGCCAGGTCGCCCCAGTTTGCCACTCGCAAGTCGTCAGGAGCTCGTCAATCCCGAGGGGGTTCGTTGTCCTATCGCAACCGCGAAATTGGGCGGCAGTTTTCGTCGGTTGAGGTAAACCCTAAACCTTAGCTATGGCTCTTAAGTTCTGAGCCTATGCTAGCTGTTCTAACAGCTTCATGTTCAAGCGGTTCACTACTACCGTAGCTAGTTTCATATCCTGAAGGCTATTTTTCAGCCTAGCATAGAATAGCTGAAAACCTAGACATTTTCTGCCCAGGCGCGTCGATTATGATTTTAACTTGGATGCCTAATTATTTAGTAGAATATCTAATTGTTTTCCGCATATCGCGAAATTGTCACATTCCCCGTCGCAATCGGCCTCGCTCTGACGTTGCTGTGTCACTCTTTGCAACGTCGCCATCACGCTCGCAACGAAACGCCTTCCCATCGCCCTCCTCTCTCCCGTCGCCTTTCCTCTCTCCCCTCTCCTTTCCTCTCTCCCATCGCCCTCCTCTCTCCCGCCGCCCTTCCTCTCTCCCGTCGCCTTCCTTTGTCCCGTCGCCTTTCCTCTCTCCCGTCGCCTTTCCTCTCTCTCGTCGCCTTCCTCTCTCTTATCGCCTTTCCTCTCTCTCGTCGCCTTCCCTCTCTCGTTGCCCTTCCTCTCTCCCATTGCCAGTCCTCACCCCCCTCGCCCTTCTTCTTCCGCCTCCCGCCGCCCTCGCGTTCCATCACAATCGACTTCCCAACGCACTCCACCCTCCGTGTCCGCCTCCCATTGCTCGTACTGTCGCTCGTCCCGTCAGCCCGTCCAATCGCACGTACCATCGCATGTCCCATCGATCCCTCTTCAGGTCCTTGTTCCCGTTCCCTCACTCTCTCCCCCCCCCTTCCCGTCGCCCTCACTCCCTCCCCTCCCTTGCCGTCGCCCTCGCTCTCTCCCCTCCCTTGCCGTCGCCCTCGCTCTCTCCCCTCCCTTCCCGCATGAGTTATTCATTGCTTCGCAATGTGAATTTGGCACTGGTTGTAAATGACTTGCACGCAGGGCTTTTTTTTTTTTTTTCCACTACTCGGATTTCCAGAGCTGTTTTCAAGGGGACTCTGAAATTCAGGGTTAATTATGAGCGTTACTCTGATTTGTCAGAGAAAACTTCTGAAAGTAAAATCTGCATTGCCAGTGTAACTTTTAGATGATTCTCAAGTATTGAACCCAGGCCTACTGCACTCATACCAAAACCGCGACCGTTGTGCTACGCGCTTATAAACCTGGTAGCTGACGGACTTACTTCTATCTCGTCAGCCTAACCATCAGTCGAAATGCCTATACCCTGTACAGAGAAAAATACCTTCGCCACAAATATACACTGGTCTCTCAGAGTAGCTAAAATCAGAACCCTGACAAATCAGAGAAAACTTATCTTCCAAAACAAATTACCCAGACACGTCAGAGTGACCCCCTAAAAACCACTCTGATTTTCGGAGAAACAGAGTAATTTACTCTGATAAAAAAATCCCTGCTTGCATGTCGCAAACTTGGAGCGACGCTTTTGCACATGCTTGCGACGATTTGTGTTTGTGTAAGGAAATTCCATTTTCCTTACTTCGCGTCCCTGCTCAACGCGTACATCACTATAGCACCTCAGTCAGCACCGTTACCACCCGCGACCATCGCATCATTCATCATCCCGCCCCTTTCGCACATCGCATCCCGACCTCACGGCTCGGCTGGTAACCCGCGCTCCGGGCCTACGCTTCGACACTTTCCAAACCTCAGTCCTAGGCTCGTCGCGCGACCATTACCGTTACCACTATAGTTTCGCTATATAATGTTCGCTCATGCCTTCGCTCAATTGTATTCTTGCCTCGATAGTGCAATTCTCGTTCGTTCACTCAATTGCACTCGTAACACTTGGTATCAGAGCCTACGATCTCATCTCGGACCGCATCCACACCTTCGCTTCCCACTATCTCAATTTTGGGGGGGGGTAGACGTCTCTCAGCGACACAGCACCGCCGCTCGTAGTGCTCTCTCGAAAGCACGCACGGCCACGACCGAGGCTCTCGCTGAGTTTGCCCGACATCCCCACCATGGCCGATTTCAATCTCGCCACGTTGACACAGGAGCAACTCGATCGTCTCGTGCGTCAATTGGAGGATTCGGCGCTCGAAATCGCGACTCTCACGACGGAACGTGACTCCGCCCATCAACAGTCAACGGTGAACATACCGACGACATCACACGCACCAACCAATGCATCTGCACATTTGGAGGAGCCCATCGTCATCTCATCCGGCACACCAACGCAACACAATAGCACGGGACAGCGCTCAGGCGCAGCCAGTGACGGCGCAGCCCAACCGATGCCCGGCATGGGAGGGAACAGGAGCGCATTAAGCCCACGGGAGCCCCGAGAAGCCCGTCGGCACGTGGAGTTTGCGGCGACAAGTGGCGAGAACGCCATGATGGCCCCAATGCCACTCAAGCCGTAACGCCCGCCCTACTTCGACCCAAGCCAACGCGGCGGCCCGACAGTTCAATCGTGGGTCTTCACGATGAATGTGTTTTTCGACGCCAACTACGTCGAGTCGGACGCCGCCAAGATCCGGTATGCGGTTTCACTATTCAGGGGCCCCGCCATGGACTGGTGGCGAGTCATTGTGACGTCGCCGCGCGCCTACGAGCCACCGTCGCACGAGGAAGGGCCCTCGGGCCCAGCTGTTACCTGGAGTTCGTTCTGCGAAACCGCCCAATACAGCACGTGGGATGCGTGGTGCGCAGGGCTTCGGGCGCGCTTTGAGCCGATCGCGGCCTCGATTTCGGCGCGTCAGAAACTGCGCACTTGGCGCCAGCTCGGGTCAGTTCAAGACTACACCAGCGGGTTTCTCGCACTTTGCGAACAGGTCGGCTACATGCACGAGGCGGAGCGGGTGGACCGTTACGTCGGAGGGCTGAAGCCGGACATCTCGCACGAGATAATGCTACGCGGGCTCTTGAATTTCAACGAGATCCTCGCGCTCGCCGAGAAAATCGATATCCTACGCCGACCAAGACCGGGGTCCTATTACGGACATCGTCCTCGGAGACCGACCGAGCACGCCACTGTACATGCCGTCGTAGCGAATGCAGCTGCCGCGCCGTTTAGAGGGCGCTGCTTTGCTTGCAACCGGCCGGGCCATCGCAAGAGCGAATGTCCAGAGGAGCTGAGGCGTCGAGGAGCAGAGC